CACACTGTTGGCTCAAACTCATTTGCAGTCAATCACTATTCCAAAATCATTGTCATGTAAACCTTTACCAAGCCAGGTATCAAGCTGGGCAGGTATCTTGGGCACCTGCCTAACCTGAAAGCTGATCTTTTCCAAGCACAGTTTTCACAGAACTCTCTTTAAGAAGATCTATTAGGAGAGGTGGGAGGGGGGGCACAAGAATTCCAGCAATTACTTTCATTTTAGAACTAATATATCTCCTGGAATAGAGATGTTGGAATTCTCTACCAGCTTTTTGAAAAAAAATGATAAGAAGTAGCTTTCTTTCTTGGTAATAGGAAAACTAATCTCTAGCACTGGTGAATGACATCTCTAGCACTAGCACTAATGATGTTACCTAATTTGGGTAATGAAACATCTGCAAGAAAATAACCAAGCTCAGAGAGCACCAAGGACCCCTCAAATGAATCTCTGTTCATCTAAAATCTAATTCTTACCCCATGTATCCCTGTATGTATTTGATTTTTTTTGTTATGCAAGAGAAGAACTTTGCACATATTTCTCTTGTATTTCATTTTGTTACCCTATTCTCTAACTTCTCAAGCTTTTAAAACTTAAAGTAAAGACTAAAGGCCCCATAAACGATAGGTTTACAACACAGGTTTACAACTATTTGTAAGGACAGTGGAAAGAGGTTTTGCAATTAAATTCTTACTTGTTTTCTTCATAATAAGATTAAAGTTTATCTTCTAAAGTTACTTTCACCCTAACCTAGACTTAACCTGAAGAACGTGAATCACAAAGAGAGTCTCTCTCTCTCTCTCTCTCTCTCTCTCTCTCTCTCTCTCTCTCACACACACACACACACACACACACACACACACACACACAGACACACAGACACACACACACCCATCCCACATGATAGCAAATTAATCTGTGCTTTGCTATGAACTGCTATAAGAAAAATAGCTGCACATTGCTTTTTACATGGAATTTAGTGAAATGGCTTTATGGGTACAACTGAGGCTTTATTCCAGATTAGATAATTTAGTCCAGTTGGCTTGGTCTGTGTTATCTTCAGGACTACTGATATTTTTATTTTAAAAAGGCAAATATTTAAAACCTGGGGTTTGCATTTCATCAGCTGGCTTGTAGTTGCAGGCGTGGGAGGATTTTCAACTGCTTTCTGTCCACTGTTCAGATTTATTGGCCTTCTGCATCTTGTGAGGTGGTCGGCCTGTGACCTTCATTCAATGCGCATGCAGCACAAGGGACCTGAATTCCCCCAAGAAACAGGAAGGATTGAGTGATAATGGGAAGCAGGAAAGAAAACCAAAGGGAATTTAGCACTCTGGGGGTGAAAGCATGATCAGAATGGGAACCAAGAGCCAGTCTTTGCGATTGAAAGTACTCAAGACCTTGCACCGAGCTTGATGAAGCTAAATTGAACCCTGTATCTCTTTAGTGACTGTCCGTGCTACTTTGAGTGGATCCTGGTACTGAACTATTCAAAGAACTGCCAGGCAGGGTAGATGGTGGTGGAGAGAAATGAAAAGGCTGACTTCATCTTTTTCTTCCCTTGAAAACTGGACCATTGATTGTGAAGAATAAGAAAGCAGGCACATCTGTTATGCAAGATATTCTATTGTGTAATGGTTGAATGTTTGCTCAGAACTGGGCATTACCCCAGGACAGATATGGATGTTGGCATTCTAATAGCAACAGATGAGTGTTGTATGCTGTTACAAGAAAGACAAATGAGTGCCAGGGCAAGATTTGTCTTTGTATGTTGCCTCAATTGTTGTCACAACATGACTTAGTTTGGAGGGGTGAGCTGCAACATCAGGATGGAGCACGTGCTTTGGATTCAGAGAATCCTAGTATAATCTCCAGCATTCTTGTTTAAAGGATCAGGAATGAATAAAGAGCCAATTTGGTGTAGCGGTTAAGGCACCAGGCTAGAAGCAAGAGACTCTGAGTTCTAGTCCGCCTTATGAACAAAACCAACTAGGTGTCCTTGGCCCAGTGCCTTTTGCTCAGCCCTAGAATGGAGGCAATGGCAAATCACTTCCAAAAATCCTTGCCAAAATACTGCAGGGACTTGTCCAAACAGGTGCCAGGAGTGAATTCTGACTTGAAGGTGGAAATGAATGAATGAAGAGATAGGAAATACCTCTGCCTGGTGTCTGAAAACTTTTGTGGGTCAAGACTAGACAAGACAGTGAGCTGGATGGTTGTACAGAAAATTAAAAAGAATTTCTATATACCTATTCTGATTTATCCAAAGACTTGGGATATGGGAAAATAAATAAATGCTTCCTTCACACATATACATGCATACCTGCCATGCTTACTTGACTTAAAGTCTAGCTGGTCCAACTATATTTGAATTCCAGTAGAATTGCAGTTGGATGCCCACCATGCATAGTATCACAGGCTTACTCTGCAGTATTTACATTCAGCCAAAGAGCATCAGTTATTGACTAATATTTTCTAATTTGACTAGCCATAACTTACATACTCCAAAATGTGGCTTTTTTTGTTTTGGCTTGCAGTTGCTGTGTGAATACAAGCAATGTGGTCTGCAAACTATTGTTTATAGTTCAGTAATAGTAGTAAATTTCAGTAAAACTATTTTAGTAGTAGTATTACATACTATGGCTGTTTATCAAGTAGTGCATTGTATTGACTCCAGACTGTTTTCATTTATTCAATAAATCAGAATTTAAGAAGACATAGGTTAGCATGAAGTGCGCCTTTTCTCCCTTGAGGAGTTATAATAATAAACAGGCAGAGGGAAGAGGGATACAGTATGTGTGTAAAATGTAATAAATAAATGCAACACTTGATCTATGATAGTTGGATTCATTACATTTCTCTTTATAGTACCTGAGTTTTCCTTTAAGCAGAATAAGAAAAATGCAATTAGAGCTTGCAAATGCTGAATCTAATATAGCCCATTGATAAAATAAAGGCTGTTTAAATGTGTCATTTGTCCTGGAGGAAGGTTATTGTTTCAGAAGATCTATTTAACAGGCAGCCTTCCCCCCACTTCATAAAGACAGTGGAATCCTGAAAGTACGATAGATGCATGAATCAAAGCAGGCTCCAATTTTTGCAAAATGTTTCTGCAGGTCTATTTTTAATGACCATATCATGCCTACAAATATCACAGAGGAAAGGGATAGCTATTTTTGAAGGGGATGTATTAATCTTAATACTTCCTGTTCTTTTTTTTAAAAAAAACCTCAATGTATCTCATTCAAAATAACAGAATTGGAAGGGATCTTGAAGGTTTTCTAGTCCAACCCTCTGCTCAAGCAGAAAACCCTGTACCATTTCAGACAAATGGTTGTCCAATCTCTTTTTTAAAAAACTCCAGTGTTGGAATACCCACAGCTTCTGGAGGCAAGCCATTCCGCTGATTTAATTGTTTTGTTAGGAAATTTTATATACAGTAGGCAGTGGTGGGATTCAAATAGGTGAACAACCGGTTCTCTATGTGGATGTCATTTCCGGAAGTCCATTTTGGGCAACAAAAAATTAGCTACTGGTTCTGCCGAAGTGGTGGGAACTGGTTGAATCCCACCACTGACAGTAGCTCAGAAAAGGGAGAGTTCAGAGCATCTGAAAAACTAAACACTTTTTTCCCCAAAAGTGGTGGGAATGGGGAAAATATTGATGGGATTATGAGAAGGTAATATTGATGTCTGCCATATATACATATGTATAGATGATTCTATAAGCAATCATACTTTAGTGAAGTACTGCAAACCTGAATCTATGCATCCTACTAAAGCATAATTTTGCTTGATCGATTACTGCTTGGGCCATGTGTGGAGTGTATTTGCTATTTGCAAACAATGTCATTGGGCAGGCTGCGGGTCCACCCCATGGAAGCAGTGGAACAGCCCCTAAAGATACAGAGTCTGCATTGGGCTAAGAGAGGCAGAGGACATTATGACATCATGCAGCTGACTTTCTATTGGTTATGTCTGTGTGTATTATGGTGTCATTGACCAGATCTCTGTACTCAGAAATTTTAAAAATAAGTTTCCAGATTGTAATGTTTAATATCACCCCCTCCAAAGTACATAATGGGAAATAGCTGCATTAATTATAATTAAATATAACATGGAAATGAAATGAAATTTAATTCTGCTTGGTGTCAACCACTGTTTTCTGGAGTGTAGCTTTTAATACATCACTCAAAAATTATATGTAGCCTTCAATCAAGGAAAAGTATACTCCAATTTATAGTGTTGCATAGTGTTGAGGATCCAGGCTGCTGTGATTTTTTTTTTAACCAACTATGGTGAAGAGAATAATGGCTCTGAATTGCCATGGATTCAATCTGATGTGCTGAGTTTTTTAAAGAGTTCTTTTACCAATTTGCAAAGTGATAACAGAGAGTAGTACAGAGTCTGTGGCTTAATACAAAATATCCATTTTAGAGCATGAAATGTTTGTTCAAATATTCCACAACAGTCAGAATTAGAAGCAAGTCCTTTTTTCCACTTGGAAAATGCAGCAATATGACAAATTGGAAAAAGAACATGATCATATAATGATTCTTCATCTTAACTCTGTAGTGGAGTAAATGCTTTGCAGTTCTTTGCATTTTCCACCCAAAGAATATTTATTTATTTATTTATTTATTTATTTATTTATTTATTTATTTATTTATTTATTTATTTATTTATTTATCTCTCTCTCTCTCTCTCTCTCTCTCTCTCTCTCTCTCTCTCTCTCTCTCTCTCTCTCTTTCATTCATTCATTCAATTTACAGTATGCAGTATATGTAAAAATTCTGGGAAGATTCTTCCTGAAACCTTGAAGAGGCACAAAGCAATATCTGGTCTAATGAACCAATAATCCAACTGAATGTCAGGAAGCTTGATATATTCAGATACCCTAATTCTGCAAACAGAGTTCAATGTTTTCTCCATTTCCTGCCTAATCTTTTGACACATTTATTTTTGTTTATTTAATTTCTAGAGCCAGCATCCATTAACCACGAATCATGTCAGTGAAACTAACCTTTGCCTCCCCTGCTGATGGGGGAAGAATCAGCAGGAGCTGCTCCTTCGCTGGATTTAGCAGCACACAAAGCCGGATGTTGGCGTAAGCTTTACATTCAACAAACCCCTTTCTATAACCTCTGTCTCTTTGGTTTAGATATTTTGTGTTGTATGAGCAGGACTGATTGCAGTGAGTGTGTTTTACAAGATTGGTATGTAATGATGCATGGGACTAATATGCTGACATGAGAATTGTGTGGGAATAGCATCAGTGACTGAACATGAGCAAAAGTAAATCTACAGTATATGCAAAAGAAGCTTGACTGATGGATGGATGCAGTTGTTGTTCATGGATTTTTGCCCTTTAGGTATGAGACTCAGACTGGTTTACAAGTCTACTTTACATGGGTAGAAGTGAAATCCATTCCAAAAATTACATGAAGCATTTGCAATACTATACTATAATAGTCCAATTACAATATTACAACAGCCCAATTCCAGTTCTTAAATCCTGTATTGTGTTGAAAGAAAAATCTTCATCAGGGTCCAGTCTAAGCTGGGAATAATCAAAATGAAGGCTGCTTTAGAAAGAAGGTTGTAGTTTATTGAAGAGGAGAGCCAGACAGAAAGATGGCTCTGGGAATGCTGACCACATGTAGTAGGGAGTGGTGGGTTTTTATACCTTCTTAAGGTTCTGTTTGGTTTTGTTCCTGTGGCATGAACTTTGACCTGAGTCTGAGTGTGCCTTTCTGATATTCTGATGGTGGTGGGCTAATCATATTATGTCCCAAAGGTCATATCCTGTTCCCTGGGGCTGTGGCTGTGGCTGATGACTATGTCCTGTGTTGGAGGTGTGAGGGATTGTTGATTCTAGGGATCTTTGTCTTTCTAATCCCAGCTTCCTGGCTCCAATCTTTCTGACAAGATTATCACATCTGCATTTCTGAGACCTGGTTTCTGTTTGGGGCAGAGAGACTTGTGGGGAGGGGGGGTTGGTTACTGCCTTTAAGATCCTTTGGGGAAATACAATATTCTGCCTTTTAATATTCCCCAAAATATTTCTTTCTGGGAAGGGGCTGATGTCCCACAATTGGTTAGACAGTTTATAAAATAAACAGTGGTATTTATGTAATACACTGAGCATTAAACCATGATTTATAATTCCTAATGGCTGTGCTTATTTAACATACTGAATCAAAGTCAAGGAAAACCACACTTGGTTTAGCATAACTGACCTACAACACAGTCCTGGGTAAATTAAAGTGCTTTAATCCAGACCTAAGATAAAGAAACCAGCATATGATCTGGAAGAAACAGCTACAATAAGGAAGGAGATACAATTGAAAAGACTCTGTCACTTGTATATTAGTTCAGATGGATAAGGAAGGTCTCTAAAGGCATCTTTTAAATGTGCACACAGGGGCATCTTAAGGGAGACTCAAAAAGATAAAAATGGTGGCTATGTCATGCAACATACATTAAAAAGGTATGGGGCTTTGATTGTGTGATCATGGTAGCCATTTCGACACTCCCTTGTGAATGTCTCTATTTTTTTCCTTCCTTCCTTCCTTCCTTCCTTCCTTCCTTCCTTCCTTCCTCCCTCCCTCCCTCCCTCCCTTCCTTCCTTCCTTCCTTCCTTCCTTATAACTGCCCATCTCAAACACATGACTCTGAGTGGTTTACAACAGTTAAAAACAAAACAAATACAATATAAAAACATATACAAATATTAAAAACACACACAAAACCATACAACATAAACAGTAACCCAAGGTATAAAAGCAACTAGCAACATTCAAAATAGCCAAACTACAGTTTCCACTGCACACCATAATTGTACATGGATTTCCACTTTCATTATAAAACCTAGACAACATCAAAGACATTAGTTGCCTGCAAGACATTTAAGTGAAGTCTGGTTGATTTTACTCTGTAGGGGGGGGGGGGACCAAGCAGGCAATTGAATAAACAGGCTAGAGGCTGACATACATAGTGGGAGTTCTGAGAACGAATGACGATGGGAAAGGAGTCAAACAGATGTTCCTCGGACTAAATCACCTCCAACCGGGTAAGAATGCTTGTAGGGGAAAAAAAGTTTACTTTCCCCTGAAAGTTATTTAGTTACTTTCAGCTGTAAAGCATTAAGAAAAACAACAATCAAGTCTTTATGCATTTTTAGAGGGGTGGACAGAAAACAAATATCCAAGTACTGTACCAGTTAACTAGGAAATCGGTTTGATTTGCATTACAATTATAGCATGTGTTAATATTTCCAGAAAATAGATGTGTTTATCATTTCAGCATAGATTTTCAGCTTGCACCTCTTACATGAGATAATCTGAGTAATACCTAGAGGTTTATCAAAAGGTAGGTCTTTGCTCACATCTAGGTGAGATGAGAGCAATTTTTATAACCTTAAAATAAGCCACTATTTTTAAAGTCACCATCATTGACCGGAGAGCCATTTTAGTGTAGCGATTAAAGCTATAAAATGGGAGATCATCAGTTCAAGTCCTGCCTTAAACACAAAGCCAGCTGAGTGACCTTGCCCTTACCCTAACCCTTAGGCCAGTCACTTTCTCTCAGCCCTTGGAAGCAGGCAACGACAAGCTTTTTTGAAATCTTGCTAAGAAAACTGAGGAACTTGTCCAGGCAATTGCTAGGAGTCAACTGGGTTGAAGGCACACACACACACACACACACACACCCAACCCTACATACCCACTTGTAGATTAAGCCATAAAATCTGGATTCACATATCCCACTAAATCATTTGTTCAATCAGCCTTGATTAAATCAATGTGTGAACTTAGCCATTATGTATATTTCATTTCTTTGTCCTGTCCAAAAAATAATTGCAAAAGGAAACCTGCTTTTCTGGAAGTGAAACTTATTTTGAATAAGATTGGGCTACCAAACTCTTCCTTTCTGTAGCCTCAGTGCTTTCCAGCTGTGTCTATTCTAGCAGGTATGCTTTGATTAACCAATAAGAACAACCTGATTATAGTAAGAGAACCAATTGACCTCAAAGAGAGAGGAATGATCAACTTTTGAACAAGCAATTATAGGGCTAAAAAGAAAATTAGCCATTATCACAAGTAACTAAGGGACAACTTTTCTAAGAAAATCTTAGATTGTCAATAACTATTATTTTTATCCAGGTATCCAGAATATTCAGCTGTGTATTTTTTTTCCTGTTTTCTTCAGTAAGAACTAGGCTGTGTAGAGGAAGATAACTGAGGTTTCAGTGGGTTTGTTTGTTTCCCCAAGTTGGATTTTCACATGGTTTTTGAATCAGTACAGCTTGTTCTGTGCTCTGTTTAAAGGGTAAAAAAGTAATTAGTTTATCAGAGAAGGCAAAAACTTAAAGAGCCAAATCCTCTGTAAGGGTTATATAAATCAAAAGGAAGATGGCTAAGTATTTAAATAAACTTAAGCTGATATTGTCTTCCTTTAAAAAAAATAACTGAAAAAAGAGTGAAAGAGCTGCTCTTTTAAGTAAGAAGTTTATCTTTTAATAAAAAGTGATTTGCTACATGGGTTTAATATATTTCCAACTAGATATGACTGCAAATAGATTGTGATCTATTTGTTAGAGTTATCACCCATCTTTAAATCAGGAGCTTAGAGCAGCTTACATAGGACTCCTTCTTCCATATTATTCCACAACAAAAGCTAGTGAGGTAGATTGGGCGAAGGTAATTCAGTGAGCTACCAGTGGCTGAAGAAATCTAGATCCTTCCAGTGCCAGTCCAACTAAAACATACGAAGAATGGCTATGGGACTTGGGTTTGGCTAAAGAAAAGACAAAATAAGGGACATGTGATAGCAGTATTCCAGTATTTGAGGGGCTACCACAAAGAAGAGGGGGCCACGTTATTCACCAAAGCATCAGAGGGAAGGATGAGAAACAATGGTTGGAAACTGATCAAAGAGAGAAGCAACCTAGAATTAAGGAGAAACTTCCTGACAGTGAGGACAATTAACCAGTGGAACAGTTTGCCTCCAGAAATCGTGGGCACTCCATCACTGGAGATTTTTAAGAAGAGGCTGGACAGTCACTTGTCTAAGATGGTATAGGTTCTCCTGTTTAAGTGGGGGGCTGGACTAGAAGACCTCCAAGGTCCCTTCCAGCTCTATTCTATTCTACATCAGTATTTCTCAACCGTGGCAGTTTAAAGATATGTGGACTTCAACTCCCAGAATTCCCCAGCCAGCTATGCTGTGTACTACACCACAGAGCTCTCAACTAAGCTGCACAGTAGGGCTTATTCTCAAGAAAGCATATATAATAATGTTTTACCTACTTACCAATGTTGGCTTTGTACCAACACCCTGAATTAGATTGTTATTAGCCACATTCTGTTTGTTGGTTTATTTATCTGATTTCTATAGCCACCCATCTCAACAAATGACACTGGGTGGTGTACATCATAAAACATAAAAACAATTTAAACAGTATAAATTAAATATATATGGTACCAAGTAAAACTGTTACTATGGATGTTAATACAGCCAGGAAACGGGGCTCCTAATAACACACATTGTTGATGGCCAATAGTAATTCTTTGAGCAATATTATGTTTGCTCATGATGAGCAGGAGATTCTGGACTATGAATTCATCTCATCTCTTAATCACTGTGTTATGTTTGCGCCTTAGTGATAAAACCTGAGAAAACAAGACTGCATGTATTTATGAGGAAGTCTAAGTAACTACATGTCCAAGCAAATAGAAGTTAAATTGATCTCTTAATGATTTGGTCTTAATCTTGTTTAAGATGAGAAAATTAAAAAGAAAAGAGAATAAATTACATCATCCACTGAATTCATGGCTTTGTACAGAGTTAAGATTCCCAGTTAGTTTTAATTATATCTCAGTTAATAGTTCCCAAAAACATACACGAATATAAATCACTCGTATACTATCCAGTTACATATATCTTCATATACTATACAATTGATTGATTTATATTTAAGTCAGTTTGCCAAACTTTAGAAGAAGGATAACACGGGAAGTTAAGCCTATGAAGAAGTATCAGCAGACCAGATTTTAAATAATCTTCCAGTTGGAACACTTGGTGTTATATAATTATCTATTTTTTTAAAAAAGGGAGATATAAGTTATTTAAGCGTTGTATCATTGGTAATATGAATGAAAATGTAATTTTAAAAAGGCTTAAAACTCTCTGCTCTGCTGTTTGGAAGATGAGAATGGTTGGCCACCTCTGTTTTGCAAGGGTGCCCATAGCACTTAGCAATAACACTTAGACTTATATACCACTTCACAGTGCTTTACATCCCTCTCTAAGCGGTTTACAAAGTCATCATATTGCCCCCAACAATCTGGGTCCTCATTTTACCGACCTCGGAAGGATGAAAGGCTGAGTCAACCTTGAGCTGATGAGACTCGAACTGCCAAACTGTTGGCAGTCAGGAATCAGCAGAAATAGCCTGCAGTGCTGCATTCTAACCACTGCGCCACCAGGGCTCTTAATATGATCTCAAAATTCCAGATGTGACCAGTGGCCTGAAAGATTAAATCCCATATTAAGGCAGTGCTCCGGTATGAAGCAAATTTAAAAAGTATAAAAAAATCAAACACTTTTTGCTTTCAAGAAACAATATTGACTATTCCCTTCAAGAAACAATATTGACTATTCCTTTCAACGAGAATAAGAAATAGTAAACTTAGCGGGATTTGGAGCAAAATAAATATACTGATTATTAATTAACTATTATTAATAAAGTATTATTAATAAAGTATTTTCTAAAAAGATTTTAGAAAACAAGAAGGGTAAAATTATATACAGGGTGTCCTTGACTTATAACCATTCATTTAGTGATCATTTGAAGTTATAGTTGAAACAAAATGATTTATGACTGTTTTTCACTTATGACAGTTGCAGTATCCCCATGGTCATCTGATCAAAATCTGATCAACTGGCATGCATTTATGACATTTGTAACCCTCCCAGCCAGCTTCCACCAAACAAAGTCAATGAGGGAAGTCAAATTAATTTAACAACTGCATAATTCATTTAACTGTGGCAAAAAGGTCATAAAATGGGACAAAACTCAACAACTGTCTTGCTTAACGGTTGTTTTGGCTCAATTGTGTTCATAAGTTGAGGACTATCTGTATCTGAAACATTCAGGATAATCCAATAACATTTAATGGCTCCTTGAAGTTTACTAGTAATATTCTTGTAAACAAGCAATAGGCACTGATTAGTGTTATGCATAGCACATTGCCTATAGCAGCAGAAAACAGCTTGTGTAGTAGAATATTCACAGTCTACATATAACTGCTTTTATCTTTCCCAGTTCTTACCTGTTTATTGGAGCTGTCTGATACAGCGTACTGATAGATGTGAAGTACTATATTTGAGACTTTTAAAAATAATGCCATTATAGAGAAATATTTTCATTTGCACAAGTAAAATGTTAGTTTAAACATATATCTGTTTAGTATAACCTTAAAAAGCAATCCTAGTACCTTTGCAATAAATTGGCTTTTTATTTCCACAGATACCAATTTATCACTGCAAGTTTGGGCAATGTGTTTTTTATTGTTTTCTGGTGGATAACATGTGTCTTGCCACTGTTTTACTCCAGCATATTCTGATCTTCTTCGACTTTCAATTTTAGTCCACAGCTGTGTTATTTCTTGGCAATCTTTGGTCCAAGGATTCATCAGGTGTGAACTTGCTTAACTGTTCAGAGATTTGTCATGGTCAGCTACAGTAGTTGTGCACCTGCAGCGATTTTAGCTTGTCTACTGAGACATAGGGGACCCGATGGCTCAGTGGTTAAAGATGCTGAGTTTGTTAGCTGGAAAACTGACAGCCCGGGTTTGAGGCCTGAGCACTGCACAATGGGGTGAGCTCCCATTACTTGCGCCAGCTCCTGCCCATCTAGCTGTTTGAAAGCATGCAAATGTGAGTAGATAAATAGGTACCACTTCAATGGGCAGGTAACAGCGTTCCATGCACATTGGAGTATAGTTATGCTGGCCACATGACCACAGAAATGTCTTTGGACAACGCTGGCTTCCTCAGGTAAGAAACGGAAATGAACACCGTGCCCTAGAGTTGGACATAACTGGACAGGAAACATTTACCTATTACTTAGACATAAATGCTAGTAAATCTCCACTGACTTCTTATCTCTCATCATAGAATAGGTATGAGAAGAGATTGGATGATATGCCTATGGAGATTCTCAATCATCCAGGTCATTGTTGTCCCAAAGGTCCTTTTCCAAAAGGCAACTGGACTTTCTTTCTTTGAAAATGTGTTGCTTTTCATCCAAGAAGCTTCTTCAGTTCTGTTTGGATGATAACATTTAGATCTCTGTACACGCCAATAAATACACGAGTAAGCTCTACTGAATATGGGAAGACTCAAGTTCTATGGAGAAGTCAGCAAGGTCAAAATGATATCTATGATCATGTGATCAAGGCACCACTCCTATTTTACATGGATCACTTGTCTAAACTTTAGACAGGCAGGGCTTTGCTCACAGTTATGGCCACTGTGTTTCTCTTGAACATTTATTGATTGTGATTTGACTCATTTTACAACCACTTATAAAGGAAAAAAAGGTTGGTGAGTTGTCTTTCATGTGATCCTTTCACTTCTGTTTTTACAGAAAATCTCTCAGCAAAGGATCCACAAGATCCAAGATGTCAGTAAAATCTGCCAAGATGTATTCCTCTCTACAGAAAGGGGCCATCCTCTGTGATCCCAAACCACAACAAGTAAAGAAGGTGTTTGAAGCTTTGAAGAAAGGGCTTAAGTAAGAACCAGTTCCAAAACCAATCATATATAGTTGGGGGAATTTGCAATATTTTGTTATGGTTTAGCCTTATTTAATTTCACCAAAAGGAGCTGAGAATAAGTAAATGAATTTCAACAGTGGGATCATCTCTGATGTTATGCAGTATAGACATAACTTGATTCCCAGAAAATTAAAACATCCAAAAAGAGGCGGGCTTTCACAAAAGGAGGATGTTTTAGTTCAGGGGTCCCCAACCCTTTTCAGAACTGGGCTGCAGAAGTGGCATGTGAGTGTGTGGATGCAGCTCCACTTGTGCATGCAGTGGGCAGGCGATCGCGTGCACACAACCACATTTATACAAGCGGCAGGCGTGTGTGCCTGCTGCTTGAGCAAATGGAGCTCTGCGTGTACACTTGCCCACCGCGTGTGCAGAACTATCTCCTCTCCCCCCACCCCTGCTGGTCTGCAAAGCCAGAAAAGTTGGAGACTGCTGCTTTTGTTGTTCTATGTCAACAAAAAACAAGCTATCTGTACTGATTGGCCAGTTTATTTGCCAACAATCAGATGCACTTTTGTTGCATCTGCTATGTACGGTAGTATCGTGCTGGAAGCTTTACCTCACAGCAGAATTACATTGCAGAGATGCAAAGATGGGCTTGAGCAGTGATATCACTGAGGAGCAAGGTTTACCATTCTTTGTAAGGTCATCCTTGATATGGACTCCCTGATGAGATTGTCCAGACAATAGATTTTAATTCAGTGTGTATGTTTGTGCATCTAAAAACAAATGTCAGATTTGACTCAGCATACTGATCCATAGTATAATTTGCTATATTGCACTGATTTATTTAGATTCAGATTTGTAGCTTTCCATTTATGATTTTCCTGTTTTTTTGGAGGGGGGAGACAGGGAGGAATTGCCCTGGTCCCATGCTAATTAGGGACACTGATCTTAATGTCATGGAAGGCTGAGCTTCACTTGCTATCTTATACATCTACCAGAGTGTTGAAGACACTTGGTTGCAGAACCTCCATTTTGTAGGCAGTTCTCCATTTCAGTTCTGTCTCCAGAGACTGGAAGGAAAATTAACCAATGATCAACCTTTTCTGGTTTTGGTAACATGCTGCACCATGGTTAAGCTAAGTAAATTAAAAGCAAATCATGGTTACTAATAATAATCAAATAATAATTTACAAATAAATCTGCTATAATCATAGTTCAGCCTATAAAATCAGTAAATCTAGTGAGTCAGCAGTTGTGGAGAACTCACTCCTATTTCGTATAGATTATCATTGGTTGATTAGGTGCCATCAGGTTGTTGTCAACATTTAGTGACCACATAGATTTTCTCCATGACATTATGTCTCTAACCTGAACTTTTGGGTCTTCCAATTGTCATATAATTGAGTGTTTGCATCTTGCTGCTGGTCATCTTCTTTATTTGGCTTTTACTTTTCCAAAGAGCTGAATCTTCACATAATATGTCTCACATAGGATAATTTAAGTCTGGTCATTTGTGCCTCAAGAGATCCATTGGTTTTAATTTCTTAGCTGTCCTCAGTATTCTCAGGAGTCTTTGCTAAACCAAAGTTCAAAAGTGTCAATACTCTTTATCTTGCTTTTTAAAGAAAGGCATGGAATTCCTTTTTTTAAGGAAGGAATTTTAATAAACACTTGTCAGTATCACAATATCCTTATATGAAACCAGGGTGTAACCACACTTGGAACACTGCATTTAATTCTACATAGAATACAAGCACATGTCTTCTTTTCCTACTGTATATTAAATAGATATCAAGTTATCTTTCAGACCTAAATAAATCATTAATGGAACGTTAACACATTTTGGATAAGTATTCTTTAATGCAGGTAGCTACTTTTATATTAGCTGGCACATTTATGGCAAGGAAATTTTTTGACTCAATAACATTTAAGGCTGCATTTTGTACATCTATGTACAGAAATATTTAAATTAGACTTAGAGATCACTCTAGAGTCTTGGCAAAAGATCAAATGGCTGAAGTTTAGAGGAACAATGGGCCTCAGGTGGATGGGTGGGACTATATTTGCCGTGGTTAGGGAAAAATCCCTCAAATAAGTTGGAAGAAGCATACACTGCTTAATATAAATACAATGCTGTTCAGTTTTTGCATCTAGTATAATGCTGACTGCAACTTTTTTAAATACAAAAAGAGAAAATTAAGTTACTTGTGTCTGGTCTAAATTAACCCACAAATGTATAGGGATGAAAGCCAATGAGGTTTATCCTTGTGGGCTGCTGCAGTTTGTTTCTTCAACTATTGTACTGATGTACAAATGTGTCTATGTATGTATTTCTGGTGGCAGTTAAAATGCCTCTGGACCAACACAGAGTTAAGGGACAAAAATAAACAGGATAAGGCTCTACTGCAAAGCAGTAAATAAACAGATTGTTATCTCCTACACATATCTGAAAACTAAACTATCTCAAGCTAAGACCCCATTGTGTTTAATGGAAATGTGGTGAGACACTAGAAAATGTCTTTTTTCCCCTGACCTCTGAAATGGATCTGGTCTATATCTATCTTTTCTCTTTAGTGAATATCTGGAAATGCATCAAACAGAGCTGGATTATCTATCAGAGTGCCACCGAGACAGAAGAAGAAATTCCAGGCTGGTAAGAAGCTTTTTTTCCTTGAATTTAATATTAAGATGAAACTGAATGGGGTCACACATAGGTTGAGGAGCCACAATTGGTTTAATCATGAGTTATTGTCTAAACCAGCCATCCAGGTTTTGTTGTTGTTAATTGCGAAGTCGTGTCTGACCCATCGCGACCCCATGGACAACGTTCCTCCAGGTCTTCCTGTCCTCTACCATCTTCTGGAGTCATTTAAGTTCACGCCTACTGCTTCCGTGACTCCATCCAGCCACCTCATTCTCTGTCGTCCCCTTCTTCTATTGCCCTCAATCTTTCCCAGCATTAGGCCCTTCTCCAGTGAGTCCTTCCTTCTCATTAGGTGGCCAAAGTATTTGAGTTTCAACTTCAGGATCTGGCCTTCTAAAGAGCAGTTGGGGTTGATCTCTTCTAGGACTGACTGGTTTGAACGCCTTGCAGTCCAAGGGACTCGCAGGAGTCTTCTCCAGCAACATAGTTCAAAGGCCTCAATTCTTTGTCCCTCAGCCTTTCTTATGGTCCAACTTTCACAGCCATACATTGCAACTGGGAAAACCATGGCCTTGACTATATGCACTTTTGTTTTAGCATTATGCTAAATCACTAGGTGTTATGGACATAATCAAGAAAGGATCATTTAAAAAGTTTATTAAGTTTGCCAGAAAAGTTTGTTACGGTGAAATCATTACGGCATAGTATTCCCTTTTCATTAAATGCACATTATGCCATTTTGGCTTCTTGAACTTCAGTTTGCCCAATTGGACTATTGATTTCCCAGTGGGCTGTTTTGAAGAGGAGAGGAGGGTCTGGATAGAATGTCCATTGGCCCTCTTCTCATTGCATTTAATGTTACTATAATATTTCTTTTGTCCATTGAAATCAATGTTGGATGGGGTTATTCTTTCCCATGTCCACCTCTGGAAAAAAAATGCTTCCCCCCAAATATTTTCATAACAAAGAGATAGTTAGACCTTTAGTTTCTCCTTTGTGCAGTTTTCTTTTATGAAACCCTGAGACACAATAATCCGTAATCTGGTGTGAAATGCACATATTTGGCACAGAAAGTTCATGCATACAAATAAGAGGAAATAAATGAGATTCTTGGTTCTTTTGCACAGAAAGTCTGTTTCTGCTTATCCAATGCTTTCTTCATTTCAGTAGGACAATTTAAGGCTGGAAGAGAGTTGCTTTATTGTTGCTGTTAAGATATTGAAAGAAGAAAATTATTTCCAATGTATTGCAAATCACCCCAAAACTCATGGCAGAGTCCAAATACTTGTTCTGTTCATCCCTGTTGCAGTTTACCTCTTGAATAGTAAAGAGTAATGAAGTTTAATTCTTTTAACTAGGTTTTTCAAATCAGATCCTCATTAGGGTGGCTTCTGAGAGTTGATGGGTAACATATCACAAAGTTTAAACTATCAAAAGTAGATCTTTGGCTACCAAAACAGAAAGTTCCTAACTGCTCTGCTGTAAATGAATCACCTTTGTTATTCTACGATTATAGAGCAAACTCAGATCAATGAAGTTAACTGTTTAGTCTTAAAGCACAAGGCAAAATGTGTTGCTATGCAGCTGAGTCACATATATAAATAACTTGTTAAATTACAATGCATTCTTTATAAATGTGTTTTCTGCTCCTTGCAAAAGAACTGGGCTCAAGCAGATCGGTTGTGACCAATTGGCACTCTCTTGGTTGATCCTTATGGAACCTGGACTCCTTCTTGCATAGATGATTTATCCAGCAGTGAATAGTGATTGGTCTCATGAAATAAACAGTATCACCACTTATAAAAGTACAAGGGCTGTGGAACAATTGAAGTGCAAATAACTGTAGTTTGCCAGTACATTGAGTATGCGTTTCTGGCTTTTTACAAATTCTTGTTACTCACCCTGTCCCTAGCCTTAAACTTGGTGTCTGAAGAAGATAACAGTAGTCCTTGACTTATGACCACAATTGAGCCCAAAATTTCTCTTGTAAATGAGACATTTGTTAAGTGAATTTTGCCCCAATTTACAACCATTCCTGCTACAGTTCTTAAGTGAATTGCTGGAGTTGTTAAGTTAATAACATGGTTGTTAAGTGGATCTGGCTTCCCCATTGACTTTGCTTGTCACAAAAGGGAATAAATGACCCCCGGACACTGCAAGCATCATAAATATAAACCAGTTGCCAAATAGCCAAATTTTGATCATGTGACCATGGGGATACTGCAACTGTCATAAGTATGAAAAATGGTCATAAGTCACTTTTTTCAGTGCCATTGTAACTTTGAACGGTCACTAAATGAACAATTGTAAGTCAAGGACTACCTGTACTGAATATGTAAAAACAAGCAATATAAACCAATGGCATATAACCAAATAATATCTGAGTCATTACTGTTTATTTTTAGATTAAAAACAACAATGTGTGATTCTCTCTGTCATGGAAAGAGCTTGAATAGTTTGTCTGCATTTGATCTGTGCATTAAATTGTCTGCATTTTTTTTCAGGGTTTCTACTATGATTTGGACAAGGTAAGAAATTGTCTTGGCAATGGCTGTAATGTAACTCTGACATACTTAAAGACACTGATCTTTCTCCCCCTTAACTAATTTTTATTACCTGTATTTCTTGACTCTTTTTCTTCTTGTAAGATGGTTGGTTTCTTGAGATATACTGTTTTCTTTTCAGGAATCACATCCTATGTATCTAGAATACATTATTCAGGTTTCCATGTATTAATTTAATATGCTTGATTCATTCAACGTGAGAAAACATCTATTAAAAATGGAATTTTAGTGTTAAAAGATGGAAGGAAGCAATTGGGACTGAATACAGTGAAGTCAAGAGAAGGAGGCTCATCTTCAAATATCTTTATTATGGTCTTTGATGAGCTTTAAGCCTCATTTTAGGAATACTGGAATACTGACCCAAATTTATCTGTGTGGTAATGGGTTTTTTGTTTAGCTTTTCTCTATAATCAGGAAATTGATTTTTAGGATTCTAGGCTACACAACAGGAGCCGATGATAATATTATTAAAACCTGAGTTTTAGATATTATATGAAATCCAAAGGTTTATTTATTAGATTTTTATCCTATCTTTATTGCTTTATAAATAATTTAAGGCAGTGAACATACCTAACACTCTTTCCTCCTCTTCTTTTCCCCACAACAATAACCCTGTGAGCTGGATTGGGCTGAGAGAGAGTGACTGACTGAAAGTCACCTAGCCAGCTTTCATGCTTATTGTCGCACTAGGCAGCACCTTAGCCACTATAACAAACTTCTCTCTCAAGTCTCTTCTTCCAGTTGTGTGTTGTGACATCCCACTCCCCCCAGCCAGGGCTGGATTTTGTTTATTACTTAGGTGAGAGACCACCAGAACCACCTAGGACTGGGAAGTAAAAATAATACACTCCAGATGAAGGTAGTGACAAATCACTTATGTATTGAAACACACACACACACACACATAAACCAAAACAAAACCCTGCACATGTCCATGTAGACCCAAAGATTCTAGTGTGACTTTAAGGATTATTTTACCCCATCAAAGTTCCAGTGTTATTGACTCTTATTATCACTGATTCACAAACCTTTGAAGCTTTTGTGACTACTAGTTATCTCTAGGACACTTGTATGGCTCCAAGTATCTCAGGGACAATTTTTTTTAGTCCTTTAGATGCTTTTTGGTCACTGCCTCCTAAGTCAAGTATAGCTTTTCCCCCCTCTATTGCTTATATCCATTGAAATAATGGTCCTGTAAATAAGAACACTTATTTATTTTCCAAATATGCATGCTACAAGGTCTTCATGACTCATGTGCTCTTCCCAGGTATTTAAATACTGTAAAAACATCTATAGAATTCATTGATTGATTATGTATCATCAAGCTGGTCTTGGCTTCTTGAAATCACATAGGTAGATTTTCTCCATAATGATATCTCCCTAACCTGATCCTTCAAGATATAGAGAGAATTCTAGACCATAATAGACCATTAGAATGAAATAATAACAACTTCTGGGAAATGCAATGTGATGGAAAGCCCTAATTCCTTTCTTTTTTAATCTCAGTTGGTATATGCCAGTGATAGTGATAACAAATGTAAGCAAGTATATCAATGCTTGCTGATAAGGGAACATCCTGCATTGCCTAAACAAAGGTTTCTGCATCATGGAACTACATTCTATAATAAAAATCAATGTAATATTTAGAATTGTATAAATAACCTTTGGCTCATCTTTTTCTATTCCTTCAAAGCAAATCCGCTCTGTTGAAAGATATATTAGAAAATTGGAATTTCAAATAAGCAAGGTAAGAGTTTGGTTTCTCTGATTGCAAGTTTATTGCTTTGGTTTAACAGACAGTATTTTTTTCTCCACCCTAGACTGATTGTGGGGAAATTGTATTAGGTGCTTTCCGAAAACTTTAATAAATTTCCTTGTATAAGGAGAGGCCTTTTCTTCTCAATGTGTACATTCAGACTGATTATTGAACACAGCCCATGTTTAGCCTGTAAAACCAGTTTTCTGCCATGCCTGCTAAATTTCTTGAGTAAGGAAAAAGAAGAAAAAAACCACACAACTCATTATGTTTTATGACTGTAAAAGGTGAGACCACATGCCCATCACTGTCATGCTTGAAGGGCTCAACAATAATATAAGGCTGGCTCTATATTTAAGAGAAATGATCTCATTCAAGGAATGACACTCTTTCTATATTTTATATACTACTGAAATTCTCATGTCTGTAGCTTTTAAGTGGGCAATCATAGTGCAACCATTTTTAAACTAAGGTACCTTAAATGGGCTCACTTACAGAATGCTTGCAAACTCTGGGACCCATTGAGTGCTGTGGAATTGAAATTTAGCAAATCTGTGGCTATCTCAGTGCTCCTGTGGTGCTGCATCACTTTGGTTCAGTGGACCAGTCCTTCCCTAGGTCTCTGGAAGCTAAATAAACTGACCCCTCCTCTAGTTCAGAGGTCCCGAACCCCTGGTCCATGGACTGGCACTGGTCTGCGGCATGCCAGCAACTGGTCCACACAAACAAACAAAATCCCATCCATGGGATGCAGGTAGCATCAGAAACCTGTCCAGTCCATGGAAAAATCTTTCTCCACAGAATCGGTCCCTGGTGCCCAAAAGATTGGGGACCACTGTTCTAGTTGTTGGAGCTCAGTTAGACCAGTCCCATCCTAATTGTCTGGAGGCTGGTCCTACCATTGGCTGCCAGAGGGCAATCAGCTGCAGTAAAAGTCAGCAGGAAGTTGGAAGTTGCTCCTGGTTCCACCATCTTTTTGCCCTTGGTCATTCTGCTTGTTTGTTTAGCTAGATAGGGAAATATCTGTGGAAAAAGTGGCACAACAGGTCACTAGTCCAGGTTTTTCTATTATTTAAATCCTGTAATTGTAATGCTACATAAACAATTGTAAATAAAATTACCATAATTATTATTGAAAAGCAAACAAATGTCTAGGATTTTCCTCACATGATAGTGATAATGGTCCTCCAGGGATCAAGTAGAAGGAACCCACTTGAAATGGCTGGTTGGCTGATATATGTCCGTATGTGGTCTCAAGGCTGTGTCTTACTACCATTAGGATCTGATTGAATCATCATAGATAGTTGAAAAACTTAAACATTTCCCACAATTTAGGATATATATGTGGAACAACTTTTGGAAATGTGATAGCTTTCCACATAATAGTAACATATGATATGGCATATATTTGCTACAGATGCACACACACATACAGTATATTTTTCTGCTCTTTTCTTAAAAAGATAGAAGAATTATATGAAGCATACAGCATCCAGTGTAGACTGCGAGATGGTGCTTCAAATATGAAACACGCCTTTTCCTTGTCTCCTTCCACTAAAGCATCAAGAGAGAGCCTGGTTGAACTCTACAAAAATCTGCAAGAATGTACAGAGGTAAGGCTAGTTTTACATTTCTTGATTCTACTTTAGGTTAGATATCCAAAGTCATTATGGAATCTGGTTTTGAGAAACAAGTATTATATCTACATTCTATTTTTCTAATGAGACTGGTTTGAACTTCATGCCGCTCACATGGGTTTGATTCCAGAGAGTTTGCATTGAGGTAAGTAACTAAGTTGGGCTGCTTCCCGATGGACTTGGTGCTACTAGTCATGGAGAAGTGAAAGGAAAATTTGTAGAGGAAGCATGCTATTAATGAAAGGTGAAATATACAGGTAGTCCTCGAATTACAACATTTAGTGAGCATTCGAAGTTAAAACGACACTGAAAAAAATGACTTGTGACAGTTTTTCACACTTAAGACCATTGCAGCATCCCCATGGTCATGTGATCAAAATTCAGACGCTTGGCAAATGACTCATATTTATGACATTTGCAGTGTCCCGGGATCATGTTGTCACCTTTTGTGATCGTCTGACAAGCAAAGTCAACAGGGAAGCAATATTCACTTAACAACCATGCTACTAACTTAACAACTGCAGTGATTCATTTAATAACTGTGGCAATAAAAATTGAATAAAATGAAGCAAAATTCACTTAGCAAATGTCTCACTTAGCAACAGAATTTTGGGCTCAATTGTGATTGTAAGTCGAAGACTACCTGTGCTAGATTCCTTGAACTTCTGTGAACGAGGCAGGAGCAATTATCCAACCAAGTCTTATTTGGAAGTAACCTGTGGATTTCTGCCAATCTAACCATTATAGCTACCTTTAACCCCCAAATCTTGGGCACTGTATTTTCATGAAGTTGCTGAGAAATGTGTTAAAGTCCTTTTCCACTTGCAGAATCCTTGTCCCCATGAACATATTTAATCATGTCTTAATCCTTGTTACTCTTAACAATGCATGGGAAAGATAAAGCAGATAAAGCATTTTTGAAGCTTTTTAAAGACCTGCCAGCAAAGAGACTACAAGGCTACCCAAATAAACTAAACAAACAAACAAAAAAAACCTTTCCAGGACATTTTTTTTTTTAAAAAAAACAACTGTTTTACACAAGTGATAATGAGATGTGTTAAATGATAACGAACTGGGTTACTATGCTTACATGAAAGGGCATTTCTCTATTTTTGGTTGCAGATCAGCCAGCTGTTCTCTTTTGTACTCTCACAAAATTAGGGAGATAAATCAAATAGCCAATAATCATGTTGGGAGATTGTAAAGATCGGGTCCTTTTAATGCCCAAGTACACTCAGTCTCATTGCTCTGTATTTATCTTTCAGGATATGTGTTTGATTGAGGGGACCCTTGAAGTACATTTGGGGGAGTTTCACTTGAAAATGAAAGGTGAGCTGAATTGTTGAAATGCTTGGAAGGAGCTGATACATGACATTAGTTATGAACAATAAAATCATAGCTTCAGAAAGATACAATCTTTGCCCCAACATAGGAAAAGGTGTTCCTCAAAACAAGGTGCTTCCTAGTTAGACTTTTATTATGGAATTGCCTTGGCTTCTTCATGGGTAGCTCAGGGTTGAAAGGAGGGGTCCTTGGTGCTCTCTAAGCTTGGTTATTTTCTTGCAGATGTTTCATTACCCAAACTAGGTAACACCATCAGTGCAAGGAACAAAAAGACCAAAATACCTCCCCATCAGCAATCAGCATCCCGATGACATTAACTCCAGAATTAGAAATTCTTGAACATTTGCATTCCATTCACCCAAAAATGGAATTCAAACACTTTTTAAAATTTTGGGTTAGCACCTGTTGCAATTTGCCACAAAATGCTCCCCTGCTTTCCACCACTGCATACTGTATATTTAGTAAATATATAGTAGGTACATACACTTGAAAACAAAATTTTCTTGATAGCCATCAATTCTAATATTGTCTCAATTATTAATTTATGCCCAAGCACATACTTAAGAGGTGGCCTGTGACTGGCAACAACAATTAACTTATCTCTTAACCATACAATTTAGTATGCTCCACAGTTCAAGTTTTCCTTGGTCAATAAAACTCACATCTCGGGTTCCAGTTTCATTGTAAAAAGAGGAATTCATTTTCAGTATTGGCACCAACAGTAACCAGTTCCTTTTAGCTTTGTTTTGGCCAGATCTACTTGTAAAAGTTCAACGTTCTTCAGCAACTAAAGGAATGCCTTCTGACCTTGACTTTGTAGAAGTTTGGTGTTGCCTTCTTCTGAACTCTACAGAGATCCTTCTTCTGGATAGATTGACTTCCTCATATTAGCAGAGCTTTAGTTGTCCTTACTTCTATTATACATTACCCTTGAATTCATTCCTCTCTTTCAACCTTACCAGCTGGGGTGATCCTATCCTATCCTATCCTATCCTATCCTATCCTATCCTATCCTATCCTAGTGCTTGTGCTCTTGTTGGCATCTTGGGCAGACTCACTGAAAGCATAAGGCATCTTTTCACATCAAAATGTTAATTATACAAATAATGCTCACGTGGCCTTCATTTCATGAACTAAGATAGATTTACCATAATGATGTGTTTGATCATGCATTTTGGTATTTTATATGAGAATGAAGTTAGCATGGGCTATGATCAGGAGGATTCATTTACTGGAGAGGTATTGAAACAGAAGCATTGGTATTACCATTTCAACCTCAAATAATTGTTGTGGCATTTAGTTGAAGGAATGATTATGTATTTGGGGGATCACCAAAAAATTATGTTACTGGTTTCTTTTCTCAGAATCTATGAATTTAGGTTCTTACTTGTTTTTCTTGTGTTTCTTTATCCAGGATTGGTGGGTTATGCTCGTCTCTGTCCGGGTGACCAATATGAGGTATAGTATTTAGCAAATTATTGAAAACAGATACTTTAGCATTAGTATTAATCAGAGGTCATTTGTTCCCAGGTCCAACCCTTGGCATCTCTAGGTAAAAAGAAAAATCTCCTGCCTGAAATCCTATATCAGTGGTGGCGAACCTATGGCACAGGTGCCAGAGGCGGCACTCAGAGCCCTCTCTGTGGGCACGCGCACCGTTGCCCCAGTCCTAGGCCTTCAGCTGGGTTTTATAAAACCTTTTCGCTTTAGGCCTCTGCCACCGTGTGCAAAAAAAAAAAAAAGGTTCAATCAATCAGTCAATTTCAACTTCTCGCGGGGAAAAAAAAGATCTTGGAAAGTTGGAATTGATTGATTGAACTTTTTAGTCCCACCCAGTCTGCCATTACCACCGCAGCCACGCCCAGCCAATGGGCCACGCCCACCCAGCACCCAACGATGCATAAGTGGGTTTTGGGTTGCAGTTTGGGCACTCAGTCTCTAAAAGGTTCGCCATCACTGTCCTATATAGTTGTAAATAGTCCACGTAGATATGTTTTTTTTTTTCAAATCTCCACCCCTTCAACTTCTTCTTGCTTCTTTCCCAAATATCTAGGACCTATTAGCTAACCTATTTTTAAATATGGATCTTGCCATCTTCAAGATGAGTTCTAGACCCATGTTCAGAAATAGCCTAGCTGCAGTGGTGGGATTCAAATATATGAACAACTGGTTCTCTGAATGCCGCTTCCGGAAGTCCATTCTGGGCCTGGGCAACAAAAAATTAGCTACTGGTTCTGCCGAAGTGGTGTGAACCGGCTAAATCCCACCACTGCCTAGCTGATAAGTGCAAATAAGCAGCACCTGGTTCATTAGGCAGTTTAACAGATACAGGTAGTCGTCAACTTATGACCACAATTGAGTCCAAATTTCTGTTGTCAAGCGAGACAGTTGTTAAATAGGTTTTGCCCCATTTTATGACCTTTCTTGCCACAGTTGTTAAGTGAATCACTGCAGTTGTTAAGTTAGTCACACAGTTGTTAAGCTAATCTGGCTTCCCCATTGACTTTGCTTGTCAAAAGATCACAAAAGGGGATCACATGACCTCAGGACAATGCAACCGTTATAAATATGAATCAGTTGCCAAGCTTCTGAATTTTGATCACATGACCACGGGGATACTGCAATGGTCGTAAGTGTGAAAAACTGTCATAAGTCACTTTTTTCAGTGCTGTTGTAATTTTGAACACTAAACAGTTTACTAAATGAACTGTGGTAAGTTGATTACCTGTACTGTAGGCATTTCTGTCATTTAAAGCAGCTACTTACAGAGAATGAGGTGGCTGGATGGAGTCACTGAAGCAGTAGGCGTGAGCTTAAATGGACTCCAGAAGATGGTAGAGGACAGGAAGACCTGGAGGAACGTTGTCCATGGGGTCGCGATGGGTCGGACACGACTTCGCAATTAACAACAACAACAGTGCTTCCCTGGCCTTGCTTCTCCACTCTTTAAGGAAAACTAGTCATGGGGAAACGCAACTACTGGAAATCAACAATTGCTTTCCTCAACTTGTTATGCATTAAAAGTATAAGAACAGTAGCACTTGCTACCTCATTACTGAACCACAACAGTGATCTGCAACAAGGCAGCACAATTTACACCAGCATAGTTTTTTTCATACCCAAGGCATGAGGATAGCACTTAAATACAGCTCTCTGGCTCTGCCCTTAGTTCAAGGTATGATCCTAGCTCAGTGGTGGCGAACCTATGGCACGGGTGCCAGAGACGGCACTCAAAGCCCTCTCTGTGGGCACTCGTGCCGTCGCCCCAATCCTAGGCCTTTAGTGGGTTTTATAAAACCTTTTTGCTTTAGGCCTCCGCCGCCGTGTGCAAAACCCCCCCCAAAGTTTCAATCAATCAGTCAATTTCAACTTCTTGCAGGAAAAAAAAGATCTTGCAAAGTTGGAATTGATTGATTGAACTTTTTAGTCCCACCCAGTCTGCCGTTACCACCGCAGCCACGCCCACCCAATGGGCCACACCCACCCAATGGGCCACACCTACCCAATGGGCCACACCCAGTCAATGGCCACACCCATCCGGCACCCGACGATGCTTAAATGGGTTTTGGGTTGCAGTTTGGGCACTCGGTCTCTAAAAGGTTCGCCATCACTGTCCTAGCTATTGTGATTTACAAATCACTCTTCTGGCAGGGCAAGTAATATTTTTTGCATTTCAGCAGTGGTATTCCCATGATGGCCATATAGAGGAGTTTAGCTCAACATGGAATGATTGAGGCAGCTGCAGACTCTAATAAAATAATATTCAGCAGTTCAATCATAAGGGGTTGCATGGGTTCTAGAAGAGACTCTGCATACAATCATGGGGCAATAGGTTGCCTACTTTTTGCTTTCTCAGTAGGTTGGGAAAATAGGAGGAGGAAGGAGTATTAGGTGTTTTCCGCCTTGAATTATTTACAAAGTAATAAAGGCATGATGAAAATTTAGTAAATAAATAAATGACAGAAGTGTTGTGTAAGTGCTAAACTCATATATTTGGTTGCATGTGATGATGGTAGTGGAGGTGGGACAAGCTACAGCTTCTAGGTGTTTCATCATGGTATGAATCCTGAGAGTGATCCCATGTGTGTTTCCCCAATTTGTTAGCAAATTTGTCCTTTGAGGAAAAGGTTGCTGAATCCCATGCATCTAGGCATTTCAGTCTTTGTGTATTTGTCTAAGTTGAGTCTGTTGGGTAGCACTACTTACAATGGATTCTTTAGCTCATTCTTGATTTATGGGTGTCAAGCATCCTGTGACATTGAATGTGACCATAATTTCACCTTTTTCTATTCTTTGATTTTTCTCAAGGCACTGTAGCGGTGCATAGATAAAATATCACCTTTTCTATAAGATATCCAAATTTGGAGTGCAACATTTGGCTATGTTGCAAATTGGGGTTCCAGTAATGATACAATTGGATCAAGGAATATATTGGGCTTTTGTATTTTTATGATAAATATGTTCATGGAAAATCTGTAATTTCTGTAGCTTTTGTTTTTGAAAATAGTCCATAGACTTGGCAATCCACCCAACCAAGCTGCAGTTTTAGTTCTCCCTACTTTCTCCTCCTCCTCACTTTCTTCTCTATCATCTCTTTCCAGCCAAGAGGGAAACTACCATTAGCAAGCAATATGGAGTGTACTCTGCCTGTGAATTTGCTGATTTTTTTTTTAAGATGCATTTTGCTGATCCAACAAGAATAAGATTCCCATCAATTCCTGCAAAGAACAAACAAACAGATGCATATATGATAGATTTTCCTGTCTCTTGTTTGCATATCGCTGTAGGTGTTTATACGGCTGGGGCGCCAGAAGTGGAAAATAAAAGGCAAGATTCTGACAGATGATAGTCAAACTTGGGATGAGGAAGAAAAAGTTTTTATACCCAGTCTTCATGAGAATTTTGAAATCAAGGTAAGACTGTGCATGAATGGAAGGCTTCTTTTGGTAGGCAGCAGGGGTTTCTGCAGGGTGCAGTCAAAAAAAGGCAAGATAGCAGCCATTGTGGTGTGATCAAAGCCCCACTGTTTTACAATGTAAGATCCACATTAAAAAAATCATGCAGAGTTTTGATTGTTCCATTGGAGCTGTCATCTTGACTTTTATCACCTTATTTTCTGGTTATCCTAACTAGTAGTGCTAAGTATTTGGTGCATGTTTCTCTCTCAATGGAAGTCTCATAACACTGTCAAACAAGTTTAAGATCTGACACCTTGGATGAGCAGTTCATACTTGATTGACATTTTTCTTTTTTGAGATTGTATTTCTTGTTCTTTCTTTTGTGAGACAGTTTTGTTTTTCCAATGTAATTGATGGAATAATCTTAATTGTGATGCTTTATGATTAAATGTTGGTTAGAAGGGCTAAGTCTCAAAAATTGTTGGGCTCTTAATAGCTGAGAGCAAGATTTCTACTGAATCCTTATTTAACAAGATTTATTGAAGGCTAAGGAGAAGAGCAGTGTCGTGCCTACTGGTAGAGATGCTCACTTTCCACTCGGAAGGTTGAGAGTTCAATCCTAGGTAGCAGCAGATATTTCTCTCCTAAGGTGTAAAGAAAAAATATCTGCTGTGAACTCCATGTGGTGACAGGAAGGGCATCCGGCCAGTAAATGCTCAGCTCCATCCAGTCACCTCGACTTTACCCTGAATTAAAGAATTACAAGGTTGTAAAAGGGAATTTATTGAAGGCTAAGAGAGAATGCCACAGAAAACTCAACAATGAATTACTTTCATTTTAGAACCCAATCTGTCTTTCTTTTTCTTAGGATGGACTTTTTGTCTTCTTTTAACAGCCTCTTCATTGACCTGGTAGCTAGGCTGTCCTCCTGTTTTTAAACAATTGAGAAATGTGTAGGTGCCATTTTCAACTGTCTCTTGAATTCTTCTTGGGTTGGGAACAAACCAGTACTGTACTCAAATGAATATCAACACTAACTAGGGTTCACATTGTTATAGTGACTATAGCTTATAGATCTTTAACTGGCTTGCTTAAGCATGTTGTGTGAAGTTAAGGGTGCACCATTTAAAGTGAATAAATGATTCAGCCAAGCCAAATCCTTTGTAAACAGGTCTTTCCATATTCTAAAGAAATATTGTATGAATTGGCTTTTTGCAAGGCGTGAAAGATTGGGCCTAGTGTGAGCTACCAATTAAACTGATTTATTGCTAATCATGTCTATGCACAAGAATCTACTCAACTAACCATTAGATTATCTTGGCATTAGATAAAGGTCAAGAGAATTCAACAGGAATTCGATTTAATCGGTTTGTGGCTACGTAGATAGGTTAGACTGATTCCACTTCTGACTCGGCCCCAGATTCTGCTACTTCTACACTTTTGCAAAATTCTATGGAATAATAGTCTGCTTGGAAACTTTTACATTCTGTAAGCAACTGTTGCAACACAGCTTGTTTGCTGGCAACACTTCTTTCTTGGGCTGGCAATGTGTTTGTTGGGGGGTAGGCAGAGCTCTGCTGGAAAGAATTCTGGATTCCTTTCCAGCCAAGCTTATGGAAATGTGCTTAAAATGTTCCTTTCTTCTCTACATGATGAGAGGTTAATTGAGATGCACTGTGCAAATGTTGTGAGAAAACATGCAGATCCTTCATTGTGCCAATGCAGATGAATCATCTCCTCCAAATTGAGAAGTAGCAGAACTGGTTTTTCTACTGTTGGCTAATCAGAATTCCACATGTAGACACACTGTTTTAAACCATCTTTGGATAAGTTCACATAGCATCAGCTGATGATTTGCATTTGTGAAATTACTGTCACAAAGAGTTTTCTTGTCATTTCAAAACTTAAGTTTCATTAGAAACAGGCCGAGCATCAAAGCGGTAGAATGCCTTTGAGTTATGTAAATGCATTTATGAAGTTTGTTTATGGTTAATTTTACATGTTGTCTTATACTGTACATTAAGGGGGATAGTAAAATGAGAACACTTTTGTCATCTTTTTGTTTGGATGCTATATTTTCTGTGCTGGAGTGATCTATAGTTCATGAGATGTTTCTGATATAAACTCATAGTTTATTAACTTGGTGTCCTCTGATCCAACCAGTATCTTTAACAATAAAGAATGAGAATTGCAGTGCGAAAATATATGGAAGGCTACAGAATTCATCCAGTTATACATTTCTATAGAGTGAGTCTATCTGAAATAAAAAGAAAAAATATCAAGTGAAGTATTCTATCCCAAAAAAGAAAAAGACTCCAGCACCTCTCCAACAGTAATCAGCAACTCAGATCAGCATAGATTAGCTCCAAGTTCAACTACAGACCAACAATCAAGTAAGCAATACCCTAATCAAGAAACTGCCAAACAGCCATTAGTAAACAGCCCAACCAAAGAATCCCTAAGACGCTCCCACCCACACAGACAGGCAAGACACCAGAATATAAACTGACAGCACTCCTCGCTAGCACTGATGATGTTACCTAGCTAGGGTAATGAAACGTCTGCAAGAAAACAAGCAAGCTCAGAGAGCATTTCAACCCTGAACTACAAATATTCTCCTTCATGGGAAGTATTCCAATATGGTAATCTGGTTCACTCATTATGCAAAACCTTAATGCGATTTCTTTGGTTCGTCTTTATTGTGATTTCCAAGTAATGAGTTATGGTTTGGTGTTTGTGTTATGTGAATCCATCCAACTGTACTTAATTCAATTAATCGTGATTATGTTTATGCAGTGTATCGGCCAGATTAGGGTGTAAAGTCAAGTTCCAAATCCAGTTGGCCAAATATTTGCTGCTTTGCCAACTTCTGTGCTATGTTAGCATGATAGGAATATGACCTATCAATGTTCTCTGAGGTAAAAATCTTCAGACAGAACAATAGAGTTTTGTTTGGTTCGGCTTTCCTCATCATGATGTCATTTGGGGGGGGGGGTCAGTGTGAATTAATGTATCTGATTTTAATGTTGCTTTTCGTATGGCTTTTATATGTGACATTGTATGTAGTATTAATTATGGGGTCCTTGGTGCCCTCTGAATTTTGTTGTTTTCTTGCAGACAAACTAGGTAACATCATCAGTGCTAGAAGGGAGTGGGGTTTGCTCATTTTATATTCTAGTGGTTTGCCCGGTGATTGTTGGTCTTGGTCTTGATGGTTCCTTGATTGGGCAGTTGCTTACAACCAAGCTCAGAGAGCACCCAGGCCCAGTCTGTTCATCCCTGAGCTACAAAATATTCTCTTCTATTATTAGTGTTAATTAAATAATTTACCCACTCTACCACCTTCAGATACAGAATTCATATTTTAGAAGCAACTCCTGGATCCATTTGATTATAGTTTATTTCGGTAAAGGGAGGGAACATGATGGTTAATAGGGACCTCCTTTTAACTTGTTCTCCTCCTTGCTCCCTCCATTTAGGATTCCAATTACAGTAGTAATTTTGTATTGTTGACCCGATAAAGGATGTGCTTAGATTAGAATAATGACTAGTTTTAAAAAGCTATACTTGCTCTTTAGGTAGTTTAGAAATCCTAGTTAATAATGTCTTCCCTGTAGTTCTTCATCTCAGTATTTTTGCTCAACCCTTATTCAACTCCCAAATATTTGTCAAGGGAAAGGTATGTGAAAAGCTGTTTGGCTGATATTATTATATATTTTGCAGGTGACAGAACTGCGAGGACTCAGTACGGTCCTGGTTGGCACTGTAACATGTGACAGCATCGAATTCTTTACAACTAGACCACAAACCATCATTGTGGATATAACTGAACTTGGTACCATCAAACTACAATTGGAAGTCCTCTGGAAGTAAGAATGCTAATTTGCATGCTGATTGCTTTATCACACAAAATGTATTGCATAACAAGCAAACTAGGCAGCAACAAAAATAATGTTACCTGCTTCCACTTGGTAACCCAACTAAAATTGAGTCCAAAAGTGATGAAATCATCTGTTTCTTAAGAAAAAATAATTCTTAAGAAGAAAATATTTTTGAGGGGAATAAATAGTGAGAAAGCATTGGATCTCCATATGATGTTTGAGGTATAGAGTCCAATGCACAACCGTGTGCATGTTAAGTTTTTATTCCTATGAGTGGCCCATTGGATAATTCATTCTGACTATGTCTGTATGCATGTCTACAAAGTAGGTGATGCAAAATATTCCATCATGACACATTTTGTCCCCAAAACTGGCTTCTGTAACTGAAGGCAGGGCATTCCAAGTCTTCTGAAAGAAATCTGATCCAAAATGAGCCATTGTGACCTCAGATCATGCCATATGCACCATCTCTGGACCTTCCAGAATACTTTGAGTGGTCCATTTGGAGGTCCAATCACTTCTGGAATCATCTGTTCTGGAGTTGGAATAGTCCATCACAAAATATTTTGCACACCCTTAATACGAAGCACACTTCCAACTGCCAGCATAATGAACGAAGAATGGAGTAGCCCTTAACTTGACTGTTTTTGTTGCATAGCAAATCTAATACTGTATTGAGAAAGAAATGTTGGATTGTGGTTAAAATATATTGGCAATGCTCAGTGCCATAGACTTCACTGCTTATTACAGACCATATTCTGATTTAGTAATGACAGCCAATCTCTATAAATGTTTCCTCTGGAAAAATGGATGTTTGGGAGGGAGAATTTGATGCCCCAGCCTTGTGGCAGTTTTCGTTATTTTCTTTTTAAAAATTTCCAGTCTTCACTGTTGGTGATAATTCAGCCAGCTGCTCTGTGTGTATGGCTCCATTTTAAAATGCACTTTTGGGGAGTGGTTGTATGTTCAGTTTTCTAGTTCTGTACAAATAATAAAAAATGGCCTCTGAAGACGTGGTAAGGCAGTAAAGAAAAGTTTTTAAGACAGCACAGTAGATTTTTGGCTGGTGCCCCAAAGGAAGAGAAGGGAAGAACTGTATATATATATATATTTCTTGGCTTTTCTATATTGAAAACATCAAAGCATTAAATATGCATTTAGTCATGGTACCTCTTTAGCCATGTTTGTCTCTTCAAATATTCCTGACAAAGAATATGAATGGTTGCCATGCTTTTAAACTTTTTAAAATGATTTTTTCTTCATCATTTATGGTCAGCTATGAAAAGATGGACATGAAACGTTAAAAATGTCCTAGCAATATTGTTGTCATAGGCATAGGAGGTCACATTTACTTTCATAGTGGCATATTTTAAAAGCTCCTTTCAGTAAAACCATGGGATTAATCTCATTCTCTTTTTAAGATTTATTTTGCAAAGAAACAATTATTAGTCTATTTCCTTGTTTATGTATTAACATATATTTAGTTTTAGAAATCTCTATGACACCTTCAAAGGTTCTGGGTATATCTACAGTATATCATTATGCATGATTACAGTAAATTCTTGTCTCCACAGTTCAAATCAAATAAAAATCCAGAAAATACCTAGACAAGTGCTTGAGTCAATATTTGATAGAAAAAAGGAGTTTTTTTTTAAAAAAAAACTTAATAATTTTGCATTTTACATTAGTCATTTTGAGCACTCTTTTTTTGTACAAAGATGAAATACAAAGGTGTAAATAAAAAGACTATAGAATTCATCAGTTGTACAGTATGTCCTGATACTTTTTAATTTAAGCTAAAATATATTACTCTTCATGCAGCCTTCTCAAAAAGAGGATCTCAACCTTGGCAACTTTAAGTTGTGTGAACCTCAACTCCCAGAATTCTGCGGCATGCTGGCTAGAGAATTCTGCGAAATTTTCAGCTGCCGAAGTTGAGAGAAACCGATTACAGTATCAGATATTTTCAGTTGGCTCCTGTCTGAATTAGCTTCAAATTGATAGAGGCTGTATCTGAAGCATTTATTGCAAACAAGCTTCTTGTCTGTTGGCAGGAAAAAGATCCTGTGTGAGAGAATTATGTGTAGCCAAGAACAGAACAAATTTAATTGTTTCTGTTTCCCCCTTTTAGTGCCAGAAGTTTCCACAGTGTTGTTTTGCAGTGAATCTTGATTCAGTTGGCATTTGCCAGTCCTTTCCCGCTATTAGCTCTTTTGATTCAGAAGAGTTTCTGCCCACTCTCCTAAAGTTCAAATGAAGCTTTACTTATTTAGAAGGACAGTTTCCATTCTGATCTTGGAGAAGGACATCTGTGGAAACTTTAGCATTCCCTGGCTCAACTTCCTAATGCTGCACATGAAGAATGTGCATATTTAGGAATTTCTCAAGCATAAATAAATAAATAAACAAACAAACAAACAAACAAACAAACAAACAAACAAATAAATAAATAAATAAATAAATAAATAAATAAATAAATAAATAAATAAAAGCTGGCCTTTGTAAAACTCTGCTTGATCATCTGGGAAAGGTATTATCAGAAAGGTGAATTGGGTGCTACATTCCCCCTTTCAGAGGCCTTTTCATCCTAGGACAAGGGTCTTCAAACTTGGCCCTTTTATGATTTGTGGACTTCAACTCCCAGAATTCCTCAGCCAGCGTGCCTGGCTAAGGAATTCTGGGAGTTGCAGTCCACAAGTCATAAAAGGGCCACGTTTGAAGACCCTTGTCCTAGGATGTGGTGGACAGCTTTCTGAATGTCAGATCAGATACTTTCTCCTCTGATTATGTACGTATATATGTATGTATGTATCACATTTTTGAACCATCCATCTCCCTCAGAGAAGCTTACAGATGATACCACTATCTGAATATTATCATCACAAGAAAAGCAGGGTCCTATTTTCTGGCCATGTTTGATTTTTTTAAAAAATATTTTTTTAAGATTGGGAGTAGGAATATTAAACCTCTCGTTTTCACCCTAGAATATTCCCAATTTTATCTTTTCATCCTTAAGGAGATTAAGACCTTCCCCTTCTGCCAAGCATTTGTGATTTGAGAAGCATAGAGATTTGGGAACTGTACCTATTTGGAAGTACACATTTGCATATATCAGTTCCCCATTTAGTAGCTTGTATCATCTTCATATGGTCGTTTATTGGTGAAGCAGTACAACCCCTGTCCTCATCAAGCTTGGATTAGACCTCTCTGGCATTACATGTGAAGGAACACATGCAATCTGCTATTTGGAGTTAGTTGCATAGCTGTTGCATTTATACAGCTGAGTATTTCTGGCTAGGGGGCGCTCAAACAGCTAAGCACAGAACAGGAAGTTGGATCAACCTGTTGGTCGGCACACAGGACGTGCACCTCTGCACAATGCTTTGTTTGGATTTGGAAGGTGTGCGTGTCAGTCCATCTGCAGCCATTTGCAACCTATGTTTATACATCAACCTCTTCAGAGTGTAGGTATGCGGCGACGCCTATGCAAAGTTGTGGGCAACTTTAAATCAAATTTTACTCTTGTTTTGGCACAGTGATGACTGGATGACTCTAAGCTGCGAATCAGGACATGATTGTAGATAGCATTCTCTGTTTAGCATCTACTGATAGCATCTCCAGAATTCCTGTTCATGATGATTGGATTTCAAGGGAAAGCACTCCCAACAGGTCTGGGGAAAGCAAGCTGGGAAAGGCTATTCTAAGGTTACAACAAAATACCGACCTGTCAAATTGGGCAAATTATGTGTGTGAAAATATATTTGGATGATATATTGAATCTATAATAAATAAGATCATCAGTAGGATTTCTGCCATGTAATTTATGGGGGGAAAAATAACACGAAGATTTTTATTTTATCTTTTGTCTTCTGGAAAGAAAAATTTTAAGACTGAAATAGCTTTTCTGAGAAATCTTTTTCCTGAAGTTTTGTTGTGTGAGCTAATACTTCCTAGAAAAATTAAAGACATTACTTTAATATTCAAACTGTTCTGTGTTGATCTTTTGGAAAGTGGATGCATAAAGGGTCTTGATTAATAACAATTATAACAACCACAATCCCGAAATGTGTTGGCTTTTCTTGGCAGTTTGCTGACTTTTTTTATTCATGGAAATGGTTTTTGTGTAATTAGCAATCTTGTCTTCTCTTTTCATAAGTATCTTTTTAGGCTAAAATAACGCAGTTATAAAACAGATAATGCTTATGTGTGCTTTTATTCATTCAAAGTGAATCAAGGACTCTTCAAAGATTAGATATGTACATACAGCCCTCTGCTTTACAGGTTTATAAAAAGATTGTTTACATGAATAAGATGCATTGACAGATGTATTATAATGACTGCATTTGGTCACTGCTCCTCTTAGAATCCCACTGGAAAAACCTAATTTGCTGAATAATTCACACTTGGTTGGGGGTCACACCACAATTCTTTAAGACATAAATTATAGTTTATAAATCACAGATGCTAGTTCACACATATACTCAAACCAAAAGCCAGTAAACAACCTTCAGATTAGCTCAGAGTACGAAATTTGCTAGATGGTGATGGTGTAACAGTTCTCATTATCAAAATTTGGTTATGTCCGTTACTCCAAATTTTCCTAGAATGCTAACTTTACTACTGTCTCAGATTTTCTACTTTGAGTGAGAATTAGGAATTTCTGATGGTTCTAAGTAGCCTCTTGAGATTTTTTATTAAAATTATTGAAACCAAAAATTTAAATTTGGGGAGCTATCTGCTCATGTAATATGTTACAGAAGATAAATTAGGAAATAATGGCTCATTGAAAAATAAGTTGGATTCCTGTAGAGGATTTCTAGCACTGAATTTATAAGCATGGGTGTCTGAATCCATGCATTTATAGACTGCTGCTGATGCTAACTTGCTCTGACAAGTACTGTAAACTACCTAGCTTAGCCAAATAACATGGGGAGTTCCATATAATGTAAAATATAACAGGTAAATTCACACATCATATTCAGACCAAAATAGGCAATAGCAATGATTTAGCCTACTAGAACAGGGCTTTTCAACCAGTGGTACGGGTACCACCTGTGGTACATTGGCACCTGGCAGGTGGTACGCAACCATCCTAGAAAAATGGTAGTGGGGGAGAGGAATGAGCTGAACTGGTGGCAGCACCGCACAAGCCTGAGCGAGAGATGGCTGGAGTTGCAGGGTTGTCAGCGCTCAGCAGAAGCACCAGGATCAGCACTTCTTCAGGACTGTCAGGGCTCAGCGGAAGCACCAGGATCAGTGCTAGGCTCCAGCTGGAGCTCGGTGCTGATCCTGGTGCTTCTGCTGAGCCCAGAAGAAGCACTGATCAGCAGGAATGATGCAGCATCTCCAGGGTCTTGTGATTTACATTCAGATGCTTGGCAACTGATTCATATTTATGACGGTCACAGTGTCCCAGGGTCATGTGAAGTAACCAAAACCTGGTGCAACCACCCAGCAGACGGGGGGAATAAAAACCAAACACCCCCGCCCCCAATCCTCAACAGAAATGCTCACAACAATGGAAACCTCGGACAGGAGGAAGAACGCCACCGGGTGGGCAGGCAGGTTTCTTGCTCGGCTGTGGCTTGGGGGGAAGTTTTTTCAGTGCCATTGTAAGTTCGAACAGTCACTAAGCGAACTGTTGTAAGTTGAGGACTACCTGTACTTCATCAGTTTTTTCCTTTTTTTTTTTTTTTTGGTCATCAAGATTTTGACACCTTGCTAGGCGACTGGTGGCACTTGGATATTGCCATATCCTAAAAGTGGTACAATGGGTGAAAATAATAATAATAATAATAATTTAATTTGTACCCCGCCCTTCTCCTCACCGGACTCAGGGCGGCTAACAGCCTTGTAAAACCACAATACAATAAATATCCATTAAAACCAAATTAAAAGAAAATATTTGAAGCGGCCAATTGTTAAAATTAACCTTTAAAATACCCTTAAAAACCCCACTAAAATTCCCTAGGCCAGACCCGCTTGTTGAAAAAGCCATGTACTAGAAGGTTGCATCTTGCACCAGGCCATAAAACTGCTTGCTCTTAACTTAATATGTTGTATATTAATCAGCCATTGTATTTTACAAAGCCCGATTTATTGTTTAGCATGCTATATGAACCCAGCCACTTGTGTTATTAGCCAATAAATCATTGTTTAAACCAGCCATAGATTGATACAATATGGGATCACTGATATGTGAAAGAGAGGCTGGATTCACACCACGCGTAATTTTGCTACTGATTTAATTCATTCAATCAATCAAACTAGCACTATGGAATTGATCCAACGTATGTGGCCATATGCAAAAAAAAAAAAAAACACCTCATGATGGTTAAAACTGATACAACTTCACAGAGGCAAGTGCAGCCACCAAATTTTGAAGTGACCTGGACAAGCTTGCTCAAATACTGCCATTGTGAGGAAGTAGGAGACAGTGTTTCAGCTGCACTTCCTTATCTTGATGTGAGAACAGAACAGAACCAAGTGTGCTGTTCTGAGCATGTTGGAGGATAGTAGTATAAAAATGTAACAAATGCCAACCCTTATTGGATGATGCCAATCATGGAGTGAAAATTAGTTGGACCAGAAAAGCAAACAGCAACAGTAACTGACCCTTTCAATGGCAAAGATTGAGCTTTAGACAAGACTGTGACGTAGTGCAGCTGGCCCATCCCTAGCTATGCTCCTTTCTTCTCTTTTACACATCTATTTTCTCCCCTTTTCTTCTGATGGCTTGAGCCACAGCTGGACGTTCTGTGTTATCCTCATCCACTGATAATGGTAGCTTGATTGCCTTTACATCAGAATTTGCAAGCTATTTAGTATTAGCTTTCAGAGGAACTTGGACAGAGGGTTTTCTTTAAGGTGCTAAATGGAGAAACTGAAGAAGGCTCTTGCAATCAAATTCGCACAACTTGACCACACACACAAATGGGAACTTCCCACTTGCAGTAGATTGGTTATACATAGAAAGTATTTATTTCGTTTATTTATATGCCACCCCTTTCCTAAGATTCCAGATAGTTTACGGCAATAAAATTTAATGCAATGTAGAGAAAAAAACATGTTCATTATCAAGGCTGGGTTAGTAAGATAATATTCCAAACAAAAAGGTAACCTGGATATGATAATTTTAGTCACCTTGCAGAAAGGCAATAAAAACAGGAACAAAGAATTCAGGGACAAAGAATTTTTGGACCCAACATTACAGTACTATTTTTTATTTTCCTCTCCTGTCCTCTCCTCCCCTCTTTTCATAACAATAACATGATTTTTGGGTAATGTGTTAATGTTGACTCCTGGCAACTGCCTGGACTAGTTCTTGCAGTGTTCTTGGCAAGATTTTGCCATTGTCTCTTTCCTAGGGTTGTCAGAAAATGATTGATCCAAGGTCACCCAGCTGGCTTCACGCCTAAGGCAGTACTAGAACTCATAATCTCCTAGTTTCTAGCCTGATACCTTAAACACTACATCAAACAAGCATGAGAACAGAAATATTTCCAGATGTTTATGATGAAGCAATATAGCAGACAATCCTTTCTGATAACAGCTGTAACTCTGAAGCTCTCCTGGCTTCTTTCTGCTGGGACAACTAAGGTGATGATGAGAATCAAGTCCAGTTACTGCCAAATCTGTGAGTTTAGATGGCTGATTAATTAAGATATTTTTTTTTTGCCATGCTAAGATCTGAAGGAGGAAAAGATCTTTGGTCTTGTAGATCCTGCTGTACTTCATCAGCCCTTAAATTAAGAGATAGGGCAATGAGAGAGACTTTCGCCACCTTATTTATACAACAGATTTTAATTTCAGAACAAGCATCCAGTTCATCTATGTGCTTAATGCTAGGAAAATACTATCATACAAATGCACAGAATGGGGAAATATTTACAAAGGCTCTTTATAACCAATATGGTTTTTGAAATTATGAGGGGGGGGGAAGCATGAAATACAATGAAACCATTAAAAGAGATGAACCTTAGTTTAGAAAAGAGAACATAAAGAAACACAATATTTTTTACCCTGGATGTATATATTATACTGAAATGAATTAAAATTATTTTGAATAAACTGCAGCTCTAAATGTTGACAGTCTACTGTCTACTTTGCGACTGTATGTTTACTATGATTAACCTGGAGCTACAGGGGAGCTCTCAAATGTTGATATTCCTTCTCTATTTGCAGACAGAAGAAAACCATTAAAAACAAGCTTCTTAAACATGGTGGTCCCCAGATGGGTGGGCTTTAACTCTCATAATTGCAGCCAAGAGGGGAGTTGAATTTCTCCATATCCAACAGACACCAGATTGGGATAGATTGCTACGACCAAAACATGAGGTTAACACCATTCTTCAGAGCTTGACCTGCAAACTGTTATTCAGGCAGGGCCTTTCTAGAGTTTTATCACTACAGATAAGAACAGAGATAGTTCACAGTTCCAAAAATAGTACATTTCTGGTCACCATCCAGTGTCCTTACAACTTAGAAAAAATAACCTTTTTCAAGACATCATATCTATTATTTTTAATATCTCTGGGCTGTGCCCTGATCATTTACCACTTCTCATTGTGGATTCTCTTGCTGGTTCTAACTGCAATATAACCTTCTATCTTGTCACTTTTAGCCTTGCCCATCTTGGTTATGCTGATTCCACAGCTCTAAAACAGACAGAGAAAGAAAAGGTTCCACCATGATGAAACATTTAAAAGCCACTGCAGTAAATCAATGCTTATTGGAAAGAGTTAGAAGACTCTGCAGACCCGAAATAAATTGTTAGTCTATACACTGACACAACAGTAGCAGAACTCATGACCATTTTCCATACTCCTTTTTTTATTAAAATCAAAAACTGGCAAGAATTACTATAAAGGTAAAACAGAATACTCAAAAGACGTGGAAGGCAGTTCCAAAGTAATGTACTTGTATAATATATTTTATCCTCCTTTTCATAGAATTATTTTCAAGATAATTTGAAAGTGAAAAGCTCCAGGTTGCATCTCAAATATTGTCTGAGTACATCAACATTATAAAACACGAAAAATCAAATAAAGCAGAACTAAAACTAGGAAGCAAATAAATAACATGAGAAATAGCTGGGAGAATAAAAAGAACACATCCTGTATTACACGAGCTCAGATAAATAAAGTGGTTTTAATCTGAAACTCCCAAAATGTTGGTAGCTGCAATTTGGAATTGTATCTAGCAAGTTGCTCAGAATATTCTCATTATCCATAATCTGTAGTCACAGCTTCATCAGATGTATCATGTAGCTATGTAGGATATTTGCATCTTTCCAATGGTGAAAAAATGTACCCCTTGAAGGTTCCTACAAAAGCATTTGAAGTACATTCTTGGTATGTCTTGCAAGACTGGAATTGTATGTCTGTATGGGGAATTTGAGAAAGCCAGTTGGCAGAAATACAGGAAGCTTCTTCTGTGCTTTGGCATAGAGATAAGCTTGTGCTGGCTTTCTAATACTTATTGGGTTTTATTTGTTTGTTTCAATCCACAGTCCTTTTGATTCCGAGAACTTAATTTTGTCCCCTGGGTCCACCACCAAGTTTTCTGTGGGAAGTAGAAAAAACTCCATATACAGCTGGACTCCTCCAAACACTCCTAGCTTCCGAGAAAAATATTACCTTGTAAGTATAGATGAAGTAGGATCTGTTTCTCTTCTAAAAGACATACCATAACCTATAGCCTCTTCTATGGTCTCTTATGAAATTAAAGCTGTTGAAACTTAAAATATCCTGCCAGTTCCTAATAGTTCTTCATTGCTGGATTGGAATGTTATAATAAAGGAAATCCAAGTAACAGGGGGAATATTAAACAGCCGATCTTTTAACAGGAAAGATCCACTTTTGGCAGGCTTTGGGATGGGTAGGTTTTCCTTGAGCTCTGATGGATTTTCTGTTTCAAACATTCTTGTAATTCTTGTTAAGAAAAATACCATTCTTTCTGCATCATTAATAAACAATTTCCCTTTAGAAAAGGAAAGTTTCTCATGATGATGATGATGATATTAATTTTGATGGTGATGATCATGTTGATGTAAGCAATATCTTGATTCTGTTGAAGCGTGTTTCACAACAAAATAGTCTTGGTTGATGGTGTGGAAAGACTTGGATAAAGGGTGGGGAAGTGAAGAAAAGGGACTATATTCTTGTATGGAAAAGATTGAGGGAAAAAAAGGCAGCAAATGATCAGGAGGCTGGAGCAACAGTTACAGAATTAGTCCACCTTGGCTTTACTTGTTGGCCACTAACTTGGGTGGCGTTCAAAAGAGACCAGTTAAAATTATGTTCTGTAAAATTATCCATAGTTCCTAGACATGTAATGTAATTTGCAGTATTTGAAAATAATATCTGTAAAAACAATTGTACTTTAATTTGGCTGACTGCTCTTGAATTTTTTTAAAATTCAACCAGTCGTTTCAAAAAGATTGTCCAAAGATATAAAGTCTGAAAAAAAGTATTCTAGGGTGCCATTGAGTTGTACAATAGAAATTGTTTTCCCCTTTGCTAGGCTAAAACTAAACTTGATTAGAGTTAATTAATGAACCATGGTAATTCATTATTCATAATATCTTGGAGAAAGGACAATGAGAGAAAGAGAAAGTACACCTGAGAATGATACACTGCTCGCCTATATAAATAGCGAAAAAGAAAAGAAAAGCAAACAACTGAAAGAATGTAGAATTAATATATTTGAGAAGAGCTTTATTTTTTGTTAGTTTTCATGACAGCATTATAAAGTGATTTGTCATTGCCTTCTTCTGGATATTTTGTTGTTGTTTTGACTTAGCTTAGTCTACAGCCTCAGTGTTATCTAAAGTTTTCTACCTAAAAATAACCATGTCCAAACTTATTTAGCTTCTGAACTCATTACAAAACTTGCCATGTGCTGCCACCTTCTGAGATATATTAATTTAAAAGCTGAATCTAGTGTATAGGAAGGTAATTACAATACCCCAAAGAGAATTGCATTTTCCACCTGTTTCCCACAGTCTGTTTTGCAACAAGGAAAGAAACATGCAAATATTAGGGAAGAGACCCAAGATTCCTGCATCCTGAGCTACTTGGCTGACTGTGATTTTAACATGCGTCTGAGGAGTGTAAGTCACAGCCTTACAGAGACAACTGAAGGAAGTTCATTTAGTTCTGAAGATCAGAAAGTGACAGAAAGCAGAAACATGACTCCACCATCAAATGAAAGGAAGTTGCCATTGGCTATTCTGCAGAATAATTGTGCAGAAGGAGAGGAAGAGGATATTTCAATATGCCAGTCTCCTGGCCATAGAACTTTAGATATCCTACAAGAAACACCCTATGCTGAAACCTCTTTAACTATTCCATCATGTCTGCTGGAACAAGACAAAGATGGTGGTAAAACCATCACTCGGGACTGGCACCATCCTACAGTGCAACAAACAAATATTCTCTCTGTTGAACAAAGAGACTGGAATGATAACGATGATGATGCCAAAACTACTGGAAAGACCAAGTCAATTCAGAAAATCCTACAGGAAGTGTTAAAATTGCTGAAGTCACAATGTCCAAGTCCTGTCCCACTGGAGGAATTGGAATACCAGGTCTTCTGTATCCAGGACAAATTAAAGGTATTGAAATCTTTCAAGTATTTGTATTTTGAAAAGGCTTGCTAGTAGATTGTAGGCTCTGAAGTTTCCCCAAAACCTAGAATCCACTACATTAGGAAAACCTAATATATGCATACATTGTTCCACTTATGTACATACATACAAAATAGGACAAAAAATAAAATAGTTGACAAAAATTAAAATAGTTTAGTTGACAAATACATGTAATTAACAATCAATATAATTAATTCAACACTTTGGGAAGAGCTGTGGTGACTGCATCAAGGCTTTATTTTGCAACTGATATATTTAACAATGTTTTTATTGGCAGCCTTTTTGTTGGTTAAATATTTATTTTTAATGTGTTTTTGAACTACTGCTTTTCAGTTGAATTGGTTACTTGTATTTCTCCTAGGAAGAATTTTGCTGCCCAACATATCTATGAATAATCCTATTTTTTCATCCTTACCTCAATTGTACTGAGAAAGGTTAAATTGCAATATCTCTGAGAATCTGTATATGCATTGTATTGTATACCTGTGGTGGTTGTAGCCACATTTTTAAAGAAAAAAAATGTGATTAGAAGAATGACATCCCTTTATTTTGTTATGGATGCTTTTGAGAAGAGTGTTTTTCTCTGGATAAAATGTGTTCCTGTATGCATAGAAATATAGTTTGCTTTGTGTTACCAACAGCCCAAAAAGTATCATCCAAAACATTCTTCCATGGAGAGTTTGATGGTAGAGACCGTGTTGGAAAGCTTTGACTTCCTTAATGCCGACTGCAGTGCTGATGAACTCTCCTCCTTTGGAAGTGTAAGGACCTGCAGCACCAGGTAGAGGCTTCCATACAAGGTTATTAACTGCCATAATAACACTTTATCGTAACATTTTCTAGCCCTACACTGACTATAAACCGAGCCTTGAAAATAGAAAGCCAGAGGATATAAAAGAGAAAAGATTGACAATATATGCTCAGTCTACTACTGCGTGTCATTTTTACCTAACTGAAGCAAGCACTCCATGGGGGAAAGATGCAATAGGTCAGAGTTTAAGCTGACCGGTCTCTGTTGGGGTGAAGGAAAGAAAACATTTTGGTCCAAGCCAAAGGAGTTTTCCTTCAAGATTTCTTGAGTTAAATACTTGTACTGACAGGCCAGATTAGGCTTGTGAGCCAAAGGTTTCTTGTTCCTGATGTAGGAGTTTTATAAATAAGTAAGCCTGACTGTTTTAGTGGCATATAAGACGTATCACATGTCAAGACTTTAAAATGGAGTTGGCCAAATTCATGAAGGTTTTCAGTATCCACAGTTGAATGTTCAGAGGCATTGTGTTACCAAATACGAGTTGCTGGGAGGGCAATTGGCCTTATGCTGCACTTATAAACTTATTCGAAGCATCTGGTTGGCTATGGTAGCAATCAGCAACCATCTCTGATCTGATGTTTTTGTGCTGGATTGGGACTGAAGTTCTCAAGGCTAGCCAAGAGTCCATTTCTAGAGGATACCAAGGTGGTGAAGGCTGAGATGGACCTCCTTGTCTAGTAAACTCCTTTTGAGTTAGCCAAGCTCTTCTGCTGTTCTATTCTTTTTCAACATTGCTACGTTCTTTTAATTTTTATGTCTCAGAAACATTTAATCTGATTTCTATCACAATATAAAGGGAATACAGATAGTCCTTGACTTATAACAGTTGGTTCAGTGACGAAGTAATAGTGGTACTGAAAAAAGTGACTTACAACCATTTTTTACACTTATAACCTTTTCAGCATCTCAGGAATTCAGACACTTGTCAACTGGCTCATATTTATGACAGTTGCATGTGTCCTGGGGTCACCTTTTGTGACCTTCTGACAAGCAAAGTCAGTGGGGAAGCCAGATTTACTTAACAACCATGTTACTAATTTGATAACTGCAGTGATGCATTTCACAACTGTGGCAAGAAATATTGTAAAATGGGGCAAAATCCACTTAACAACTGTCTCACTTAGCAATAGAAATTTTGGGCTCAATTGTGGCCGAGGACTACTCTAGTGTAAACAAGAATAGTATGAAAACTTAGTTCTCTCCACTCCTGATATGCATTTATGATTTATTACGTGCTTCTTCTTTCTCTTGTGCTTGGCACCAGCATCTACAATGATGCCACTCTTTCTTCTCTGTGCTGTGAGGCCCACATGGAAAAGGAGTTAACCACAGGAAGTGATGACCTGGATAGACTTCTGGAAATTCACCTGCAACTCTGCCGGGTCCTTCTGCAGGTGAGGAATACAGTTTTAATCCAGCCAGCTAGAATCTTATGCTGTTTTTATTCTCAGAGAGCGAGAGGCATAGCATAATACAGTAAGTTTATAATCTGTGTTGGGGAGTTTTCATGGTCTGCAAGCTGCTGAACCATTCAGAACTCATTGCCAAATGTAAACATGTATGAATGTGACAAAAATATTTTGTGGTATTAGATCAAAGAGTTGGCCAGTGTAGTATTTATTTTCCATGCAATAACCAAACAGTTGTCTCTGGGAAAAGCCCAAGCAGGATGTTAAGTCATAACATTCCTGCACATTTAATGTATACATGTATTGCTTCCAATATATGTATATACACCACATGTTCACTAACTGAGCATTTCGTGGCTCATTTTGTTGATAAAGTTGTCCACTCTGACCTGAAGGGAGATAATTTCTTGAGATGACAGAAGTGACATTTTGAAACATTTTTTTCTGGTGGCTGGGGAGGGGGTGCTTTTTTTTGAGCCTGAGGGTCTCAAGGAGGAGCTCTGATCTTAGCTCTTTCGCTTGGACTTCTTCCTGGCCAGGTTAATGAAAAGGCCAGGGAGAAGACTGGGAGCTGGATTCAGTCAAATAATCAGTGGTGTTGTTGTTTTTTGGGGAAAGAAAATGTTTAGGAGTCTTGAAAGACACTTCAAGGAGCCAGATCTGGACAAATAACTAATGTCTCATCTCCTATTTTCTTTTGGGGGGAAGGTTCTTGAGAAAGTAATGGCTTGCGGTCTCAGAGGGCTCTGGTGGATACAGATTGTCCAGACCTGTAACAACCTGGACATTTGCAGTGATCATTCTCATGAACCATGGACGGACTTGTGTTGGGGGGGGAGGGGAGGGGAGAGTGACTGTTTTTATCCTTCTAGACCTCTCAGCAGCTTTTGATACTGTCAGTCGTCATTCTGGACAACCTGCAAGAGTTGGGAAATGAATCTGTGGATGGGAAATAGAAATACAGATTCAATCCAAGCAAGATGGAGAGGCTGTTAGTTGCAAAGCCTTCTGTTTCCAGGACTGCATCACTTCTCATGGGGCTGTGCTCCCTCAACAGAGACCATTTAGAATCACAGCTTTAGCAAAAATAGTCTTGAAACTTATGGGTAGGGACAGTGATGGCGAACCTTTTAGAGACCGAGTGCCCAAACTGCAACCCAAAACCCACTTATGCATCGTTGAGTGCCGGGTGGGTGTGGCCCATTGGGTGGGCATGGCTGCAGTAGTAACGGCAGACTGGGTGGGACTAAAAAGTTCAATCAATCAATTCCAACTTTGCAAGAACTTTTTTTCCCCACAAGAAGTTGAAATTGACTGATTGAACCTTTTTTTTTTTTGCACATGGTGGCGGAGGCCTAAAGCGAAAAGGTTTTATAAAACCCAGCTGAAGGCCTAGAACTGGGGCGACGATGCGTGTGCCCACAGAGAGGGCTCTGAGTGCCACCTCTGACACCCGTGCCATAGGTTCGCCACCACTGGGTAGGGAGATCTTTGCTCAGCCTTGGTTGGTATATCAAGTGCATTCATGCTGGTTTCTAGATTAGATTACAGTAGTTTGGAGACCCAGACATCCTTTTCAGTGGCTGACTGCAAAGTTATCCATGCCAAGAACAGTGTAAATGAATTGTCATAATTCTATATTATATTTTGTATTTATTTATTTGTTTGCTTGTTATTTTTATATAGCCATCCATCTCAAATAAATGATTCTGGGTGGCCTAGAACAGTTCAAACCAGTATAAAAAGACAGAGCACAATTTAAGGACATATAAAAAGCATATAAAACTGTTTTTTTCAATATATATATAATCTGCAGCTAAAGTATTAAGCAGTCACCAACACTTAACATAATTCCTGTACAGGCTTTACTGTACATCCAGATCTCCAATCCTGGTGGGAATGCCATATTTGTAAGATTTACAAAAGGCCAACCAGGTAAAAGGCTAATCTGATCTTGGGGAAGAGTGACATTCCAAAGGGAACACAATTTATTGGAGGCAGCAGATCAATCAGGTGGGTGGGTGGAAAAATAGACAGTCAGTCAGAAGGAACTGGATCGATAAATGAACTGCAAAGCATCACCTTCCTCATCTGTCAGTAATGGGGTCAGACCTGTCAATTGGCTAGATCAATATTTTTTCAATTACAGATAGCCCTCAACTTACAACTGTAACTGAGCCCAGAATGATGGTCTTAAGTTGTGGTGGTCATTAAACAAGTCACCACATGATCACATCCAATCCTCTGATCTTTTTAACGGGGATCATTAAGTGAATGCTGCGGTTGTTAAGTAAATGCCACATTTGTTAACTGTACACTGGGCATTAAGCAAGTCTGTTTTCCCCAATGGGCTTTTTTTTTTTTGCCAGAAACCAGAAGTATATGCAGGAAGTATATGCTGGCAAAAAATGTCAAAAATTGTAGTCACACAACTCTGAGATGCTAAGCAGTTGGTCATTAAGCAAGGACTATCTGAAATGAAATAATCTGAAAGATTGGCTTGGAACTTTGAAAATAAGAAACTAAGCTGTTCTGCATGGATCATAGCTCTCTCTAGTCTACTCTACTTGGCAGCTGGAGATGCTTGGAGTCAGAACGGGAACTTTCAGAACCAATCCTGTATGAGGGACCTCCATTCCACAATTGTCAAAGGGCTATAAGCCCTGGTGGGGCAGTGGTTAGAATGCAGTATTGCAGGCAAACTCTGTCCACAGTTTGGAGTTCAATCCTGACCTGTTCAAGGTTGATTCAACTTTCCATCTTTCCGAAGTTGGTAAAATGAAGACCCAGCTTGTTGGGGGCAATATGTTCACCTTGTAAACCCCTCAGAGAGTGCTGTAAAGCACTATGGGGTAGTATATAAGCCTTAAGTGCTGTTGCCATTGCTATATATTTTAGGTGTATAATTGATGATAACCAATTGTATCTAAGGTTGTGATAGAGAGATACTGCTTTTCTCCATATTTGCTTATGCTGTAGGAGCAAATACAACTCTTGCCCAGCCAGTGGGTGTCCAGAATGCTGAGTCTGCATGCTAGTTATCCGCAGGATCACCACAATCCCCAGAGGAGAGAGACCAATTTCTGGAAGAACCCTGATGCTTTGACACCCGGAGGTCCTAGTCATGCTGATTCACAAACAGATCCTCTGGCTAAAAGTCTGTTGCCGTCAGCATATTTTCAATTATAGGAGTCAAAGGCTCCTAAGCAAATTTAACAGTCAAAGAGCAGGAATAAATGTTGAGTTCTTTCAATATAAACAGTGGAGTCTCCCAAGGATTTATAAAGAGTTGAACCCTCCAAAGATTTGTAAAGGAAGAAACGCCTCTTCTCGCATTCAATAAGCATCTGGAGTTAACTATAAACATCATTTTGCTGTAGAAACGGGTGATCAAAAGTGATTATAACTATGGTTGTGCAAACAAAAAGGAATTCTGAAAGGATTTGTCTAAACTAATGCTGTGCCAAAATCCACCTTGTAGTCTCTCAAAAGTTATCATAAGAACCTTCTGCTTTTTTAATTGTGAATTTCTCTTCTAAAGTGCAGACTTTTGCAAAGAGTAGAATATTCACTCACTTCCCTTAGCTCTCTTGCAATTATAGATGTACAAGAACACCCAATTCCCTTAAGAACATTTCAATGAAATTCCATTCTTTGCGGGAGGGGGGAGGAATCTCAGTTGAAATTGGTAGAAAAAATGTATAACATTACTTGAAATTGCCTGTAATACCTTGGACTGATAAAATGAGTGTTAAATTGGCATATGTTTTCCACTAGAAGCAAAAGTGATGCCGATTAGAATACAAAATCAGAATTCCATATCTGTCTCATGTATCTAAGTTGGCAGAGGATAAGCAGGAAAAGGATTTTGTGGGCATGCTCAATAATTTGAAGAAAATATCATCGGTAAATACTGTGGTGGAAAAAAAAATACAGGCAGTCCTAAACTTGCAACCATTCATTTAGTGACCGTTCAAAGTTACAAAGGAAAAAAGTGACTTACGATCATTTTTCACATCACCATTGCAATATCTCCATGGTCACATGATCAAAAATCAAAGGCTTGGCAATTGGCTCATAATTATGACAGTTGCACAGTGTCCTGGGGCCCTTTTGTGACCTTCTGACAAGCAAAGTCAACAGGGAAGCCAAATTCATTTAACAACTGCAATAGTTCGCTTAATAATTGTGGCAAGAAAGATCATAAAATGGGGAAAACCTCACTTAACAACTGGCTTGCTTAGCAATTGAAATTTTGGGTTCAATTGTGGCTGTAAGTCGAGGACTACCTGTATTTGGTGTTCAAGTTCACAAAAAAGGAAAACAAAACTGCTGTTATCATAAAAAGATAAAATCTTATTCAAGAAGAGTTTGATTTTTGGTGATTGAATGGAGTGGTTTGTCATGGTCACCTTCCAGGTGTTTTTCTGCTTCCCCCAACACAACTACTTTCCTGAGATTTCCTGGTTATTTCTCATCCTAGGCTAACTAGTTGTCTTCTTGCTTAGGTTTTCCAAGAGTAGACAAGATCAACTAAGTGCTACTAACTAGCGTGGTAAATATCTTTGTACAAAGATGAGATGTGACTACATTTGGAATATCACATATATTGTGTCTCTCTAACCTCCAAAAAAGATATTTATTTCCGGCAGAGGTACATAATGTTGAAGTTATACCTCTGAGCATTTTTCTTTGATCCCATAGCATAGCAACTACAAGAAGAAAGTGATTTCAATTTCTATCCTGGGTCAATAATGGTAGGCAAATTTTATTTCTGATGGCCTTGAAGAATATTTGCAGCCAGTTCAGCTGATTTTGTGCTTAGTCAAAATTACTGACTATTTATACCTTTTTTTTGTCTTCCTCCTTTTGTTTCCAGAAACTCGTAAAGCCAAACTTAGCTCCAATTGTCCAGGAGAACCTTTTGAAAGAAGCGTCACAACAGAAGCACGTCTTAGAAATAATTTCTGCTCTGGCTACTCCTGTGCCACGGAAAATTACTTCTGTTGAAGAGAGTAAGTTACATGCATCCAGGACTTGACAGTTGAAACAGACTATAAATGATGTCTGAACTTTTCTCTAGAATCTTCAACCTCACTGGTTCCCAACTGGTTCCCTAATGTGTTCCCATTAGATCAGCATCAAAATAAGGAGCACAGTGGCTCAGATGATTGGGACGCTGGGCAGGAGTTTAGCAAGCCTGTGTTTGAGATCTGAAAGCTGTTGTGGGGCAGGATTGAGCTCTTGTCCATCACTCCAACTCCTGTAGGAGACAGGATCCCCCAACTGGGTGTCCTCTGGGCAACTGTAATGTCACAGGCTAATCCTTTCAACCCTGAAGCGCCTTGTTGCTTCTGACATGAGTGCAATATATGTTGTGTGGGTGTCATGCTTTGTCTGATTCTGATTTTCCTCTCCCTGGCCGATAACACCTAAAAGACTCCAAAATTAAAGAATACTTAACAAATTAAAAATAATTTTGGAAGGTTGAAATCTTAGGAGATTTCAAATGTCATGAATGTCATCTTACCGTTCTCATCTAAAAACTTAAGCGGGCATAAGATTTTAGGCAAGAACACTAAGCTCTCATGACATTTTATTATTTTTTTTATTTTTTTTAATTTATTTTATTACGCTGCTTGCATATGGACCACCTGCAGGTTGATTTATTCATCATGCAGTCTGGTTTATTTATCCAAGCCGTGCACTGACAGCAAAAGTCTCTGGCTCAATCATTGCTGTCTTCTAAGTCAGAATTCAGGGCTAAATAATCATATGCATAGTTGAACAACAGAATGAATGAAGAGCTATCCCTGTTATTGTTGTTGCATTTAAATGAGAGCTGGGAAGGTGGCAGATCTAACTATAGGAGTCAGGTTGTGCTCTCTGGAATCATATCTGTCAGCGTTGATCATCTCAATGTTTACTATGGCTTGCAGTTTGTATGACCGCATATGGAAAAAAGCATGTGAAATCTGCAATGTCAAAAGCTAGAATAAGGCTCAAAGACTATGTGGTTTTTGCAACTACAGATGTCTTCATAACGAACAGATTTTTATTTGTTTCTTTGCTGCTGGGTGGGTTGGTTTCTCAGTTGTCTGGCAAAACATTTGAGACATGTCTCCCTTCTTGTCATATAATCACTTGAAATTCTGACTCATGGGGCGGGTAGTTGAAGTGAATAAAAGACTAGTAGCATAATTTGGTAACATATCAAGCCCAGGAAATCTGGTGCCTTGCAGATCTTTAGGGTTACAAATCCCACAGTCCCCTACTGTTGATTATGTTGGCTAGCACTAATGAGAGTTGAAGTCCAAAACATCTGGAAAGCATTAGGCTACCTATTTTTGATCCACACATTCCTATTTTATGTCTTTGCATGTTTGCATATATTCAAAATTGTAGTGGTTCATCTTGGCATGATCTGGTATTCCATTTCCAGCTGAAAGAGAGTTCTGATTCCATTGCTAACTTCCAAAGCTGTCTTTTGCAGTTATCCAAAAAGCCCAAAAGCCAAAACACTGCTTGAAGATCTGGAGTGAGTGTACTGAACAGGGAAGCATATTATTCTGTCCAGCAGAAAGATTTTGGACTCCTTTGAAATATATATTGATGTTCAAAACAAAAGAGAAATATCGACATCATCTAGAAAAAGGTACATTTTAATGTGTGGGTCATTAATTGTTTCAGTAAACTGGAATGTTTATGTTCAGAACTAATAAGATTTATTCTAGTCCCAGGTCTCAGAGTTAAATCGCTGAAAATTTTGCATGAGTCCAAGGTTTACAGCACTGAAGCCTTTTCATATATTGATATAGACGTTCCTAGTGAGTTAATAAGGGGAGAAAAAAGGAAGAATGTCACATTAAAAAAATATATTACAGGTAGTCCTCACTTAGCAACCACATCGGGACTGACAACTCTGTTGCTAAATGACACAGCCGTTAAGTGAAATACCAGGTGATTTTAGTGGGCTTATGATCTTACCTCCCCTTCAGTCATTAAGTGAAATGCTACAATCATTAAGAAAGACATCACGATTTTTACTACTGACTTCCCTCTTGCTTTTGCTTGTCAGTAGCCAGTGATGAAATGCACAAGTAGCAGTCACCTGACCATGGGATGTTGTGATGGTAGTAAACACCCACCAGTTGCAAAGTGCCCAAATGTCAATCGTGACTACAAGAGCACTGCATTGGTTGTAAAAAGTTACTTTTTCAGTGCCCATTGTAACTTCGAATGGTCGTTAAATGAGGGGGCTGGTAAGCAATGCCTACATGTACGGTAAATATTTTAAAAAACATTATTGCTATGCTTTTGCCCTTTCTCTGTGCCACTTTAAAGGTCAAAGTAAAGATTTCCCCTCTCCAGTCGTTTCCACCCTAGGGGGTGGTGTTCATCTCTGGTTGGGTAAGAAAAATTGTTCATAGAGAATCCTATGAAGAGCAAGGTGTTTCATACTCATCCAAAGGCATTTAGTGGGACAGAGAAACCATCCCTGCCCTTCCCAGCATACAAAGCAACAAAGTGACTCACTGCAGGAACTTCTGGGAAGCTCCTGTGCCTCATTTCAGCCTGTGCAACAAGGCAAGTGGCAGCTGGCAGATAGAGACCACCTGTCTACTTGTGATCCTGGCTGTCAGGCAAAGAGGAGGCAGGGATCAAAGCACTGTGCAGTGAGCTGCCTTCTTGTTGGGCATGCCACAGAAGGTCCAAGGGTGGAACAGATCAACTGTGCTGAGCATCATGTGTGTAAAGGAACCCAGCAGAGCCTGCTATGTCACTGCCTACAGGGCAGCGTGATGGGGGCAAATGCAGTGCAATTGATGGTACAAGTAGTGGTGTGACCCCAGGAAGAGCAAGCAAGGGCTGCAGAACCATGCCGTGGTGCACCCAGCAAGCCCTGGCAAGCCCTGTGGTTCCCACACACAAAATGGTGTAGCTGAGCTCTACTCTTGCAGGCAAATTTGGACTTGTAGAAGCCATGGATCCTTTTCCAATCTGCATGCCATTTCAGGATAGCCAGCTCCTTCAAACCACCCTACTTCATAGTTAATAGTATTCTATTAATAGTATTCCAAGAGAAGGGAATATATACTGTACTGTATATATATAAAACTCAGGGTTGAACTGTGGAATCTTATTATATTCGGTGCTGTAGCTTCCTGTTATGTTTTTTGGCAAAAGATCAGCTTTGGAAAATTATTATTTTTGAAGGGCTCTTATTTGATACCTTTGGCCTTTTTGATAAAAATGCTAACGCTATTTAGTAAGTAATTTATTAATTTTGCAACATCTGAGTTTAATATTATATTGTTTTCTATCAAGTAAGCAGCTATTGATATTTACCTTGCTGCTACATAATTTAACACTTGTAATTATTTATGTAAATGTATAATGTGTTTCAGCTCATGAAGTTATAGTTTATTACTATAGATGGTTTTGGCACCTTGTGAGTCAACTTGACAGATGGCCTGTAACCTTAGAAATAGGTAAATAAATCAATATATTTTGGTGAAAACTGAATTCAGCCCATATCCATTATCTTCAGTTTTGCAGGTATTCTTGGAACAGATAGTTGGAGGCATTTTATTAGGCAACTCGAGAGATCTTCCAGCTGAATCTGTGACGTTATTCCAGTTTTACAGCTACCTGGAGAAACACCATGTAAACAACTTGGAAAAATATTTGATCCGATTCGCTAAAGAAGGTAAATGAATGGATAGATATGGAGAACCAAAATAAAATGTGGTTGATTTCCAAACCTTAATGTTGAAGTAATGAATGGCAAATTTTGGGTACAAATTAAAACATCCTCTTACTTCTAGATGACCAACTCCAACTTAGCAGTTTTTCCAACTAGGTGGCAAGCTTTGCTTTGAAAGATCTTGGGAAAAGTTCTATCTTAATGAACTTTTGAAATGAAAACAGGAACGGGACTGTCCTGACCTCAGAGCAAACTGCTCCAGAGAGAAAGGCAATGACCAAGAATCTTGTTTCCAAGACCCTACTTTCTTCACATCTCAAGAGGGAGGGAATCCACAACATGCCCTTCTACCCATACAGGTTGAATGGATAGATTCTAGATGAAGTAGAACAGTCTCATAATCAGGCCAAACGCTATGAATTTAAAAGTGATAACAATCTAGATTGCTGAGATAAGTGTTTCCCAATCTTAGCAACTTCCAGATGTGTGAGCTTTGACTTTCAAAATGTTGGCCTTGTTGACTAGGAAACTATGGGAGATAAAGTCCACTAATCTGAACATTGCCAAACACTGCTTTAAGGCCATGAGGATAATTCCTAAGACTGGAAAATGTTAAGATTGTACTCAACAAAATAAAAGCAACATCTTTTGGGATGTATCTGTTTTAGTATCTAGATCAGGGGTCCCCAACACCCAATCTGTGGACTAGTACTGGGCTGCACCATGCCAGAAACTGGTCTGCACAAACAAGCAAAACCCCACCCTCCGGTCCGCAGAAAAATCTTTGTCCACAGAACCGGTCCCTGGTGTCCAAAAGGTTGGGGACATCTGATCTAGATTACCTACAGGCTTCTTAGAGAAGGTAATGTTAAAATTGTTTATTACATTTACATTCCATCTTTGTCCCATTGTGGAACTCAAAGAGGCATATGTAGATTTCCTGGATAATTTTCAAATTGATTAAACTTATACCTATTTAACTTGTTAACAAATTGTTTGGATGACATCTGGTATCCTGTGTTTTGATATATAGTATGTTACTATTCTTTCATTTCCATCTTGAGGTTCAGAGTTATGTCAGGACATTAGGTTGCAATATACTGGGTCACTGACTTCAGTATGGGATATTGACAGCTACCTGCCATGTTGGGTGTACACTATTCCAGTTATAGAGGGAACTTATCATAAGAGTTTGAGTCAATAGACAATCCCTGCAGTTTTCTTGGCAAGATTTCAGAAATGGTTTGTCAAGAGTAACTGGCTCACCGTCACCCAAGTGGCTTTGTGCCTAGGATGGGACTAGAACTTATGGTCTTCTGGTTTCTTTAACAAAGGTTGGTCCAGTTGCCATGATTCAACCACCTATGGTCTTCTGGTTTCTAGCCTGGTGCATTAGCCACTACACCAAATTGACTATATTCAGGTTTGCTGCTGGAGAATAAAACCAGAAGAGGACAGTCTTAAGGACCCTTTTCTGAAATTCCCAGAGGCATCTGACAAGGGAAAAAGAAACAGGGGCAGGAGGGCTTCCAATCTACAGAGATGTTTTAATATTGATTCAGCCTCTAATGCTGCAGTTCAAAGGTTTGGAAGTAGTGTTTTAGGTTTGCTTGGAAAGATCCCTTTGTGCCTGTTTCCTTGGCAAGGATACTTCTAGTTCCAGCAGTTAGCATAGTGGACTAATGGCTTGACCAGAAATGGTAACTCTAAGACCACATATGGTTTCAGATTTCAGATTGAATTGCCATTTTTTAAAAGCAATTTTTTGGTCACAGCTCTGACAATAGTAATAGTTTTTTGAGCCTCTCTACTTATGGCTGAATTCCTTTCCTCCAGTAATATTGACAGAGGACCTGCAACGTCCTGGGAGAATGAAGAAAATAAAGAAGCTAAAAGGGAAGCAGCTGAATCAGCTGGAACCTCTGCCTCAGACCTTACGGCTCCTTGCGGTCCTGCAGCTTGATGAGAATCATCGTATAGGCAAAGCGGCCACATTGTGCCTTTCTCGTGCAGCAACCAACAGGAATTTCAGGGAAAAAGTAGGTGCTTTCTCCTTCCTGCTAGCTGCACCCTGGGAATATATGCTTCTCTGTGCATTTCAGTAGCTATAGTCCTGCTTTGTATGCAGAAGGTCTGTCCATGGCAGTGGCTCCAAATGTAGTGCCATGTAAACCCCAGCCAGTACAGATACAGCTAGTCCTTGACTTACAGCAATACATTTAGTGACTATTCGAAATGAGAAAAGTGATTTATGATCATTTTCATACTTACCCATGTTGCAGTATCCCCCATGGTCACGTGATCAAAATTCAGACGCTTGGTAACTAACGATGACGGTTGCAGGGTCCTGGGGTCATGTGTTCATCTTTTATGACCTTCTGACCAGCAAAGTCAATAGGGAAGTCAGATTCACTTAATAACCGTGTTATTAACTTAACCTCAGTGTGATTCACTTGTCAACTGTGGCAAGAAAGGTCATCAAATGGGGCAAAACTCACTTAACAAATGTCTCACTTAGCAACAGAAATTTTGGACTCAGTTGTGGTTTTAAGTCAAGGACTACCTGTATTCTTTATGCACATGGAACAAGTGTCCTTAATGTAGTGATTTATTCTTTTTATCTTCTACAGATCTCACTTCCCTCTCCAGGTATAATTTTTATAGTAATCTAGGTCAGGTAAACTAAACCGAGGGAAGGCGTTTTGTTAAGTTTCATGAACTACATGACAAAGCAAAAATAGAATAGAATAACAGAGTTAGAAGAGACCTTCTAGTCCAATTCCAAGCAGGAGACCCTTTATAATTTCAGACAAACAGCTGTCCAATCTCTTCAGTAATGGAGAGCCCACAACTTCTGAAGGAAAGTTGATTCAATTTTGCTTCTTCTTTCAAAGCCCAGTACTTTGAGCTGGCTTTCCTTAACCCAGATGCAGTGAATTATGTTCCCATGCTTTCCCACTTCTGTGCTGAGCTGGGAATTAAGAGATTTGTAGACCAGGTCTTCCAGGGTAGAGCCAGATTGAAGAAAGCCGGTGTTTCTCAACCTCAGCAACTTGAAGATGTCTGGACTTCAACTTCCAGAATTCCCTCCCAGTTTGCAAGGTTGAGAAATGCTATATTTTTGTTTGAAAAGGAAGGACAAAAAGCATTATCACATACAAGCCCAGAATTCTTATTAAGACTGTTAAATTACAATTTTTCCCTTCCAGCTTGTTGCTTTCCAGATGTGTAAGGATTACAGCTGGGAGGGAATTCTGGGAGTGGTTATTCCTACCCACCTTGTGGGCTGCCACAAAGAAGAGGGAGTCAAGCTATTTTCCAAAGCGCCTGAAGGCAGGACAAGAAGCAATGGGTGGAAACTAACCAAAGAGAGAAGCAACGTTCTTGATTCCTCTTTGAAGGACTGTCAATCTTGTTAATTGGTCACCTTGTTGGACGGAGGTCTTCGCCACTTACGTGGTTGTGACCTTCAAAAATTCTTCTTTGACCTGTCGGTAAACAGGCTTTACCATATCCCAAAGGACGGACTCGTCCCCCAACCTGATCTACTGGAGGTTCCAGGGAAGGTTGAAATAGTAATTCATTATTATTATTATTATTATTATTATTATTATTATTATTATTATTATTATTATTATTATTATTATTATTATTATTATTATTATTATTATTATTATTTGGTGCTAGGTCAGGATTAGGGCATTTATGCTAAAGTATTTTTTTTTAAGAAGAAATATTAACAGCCTTGTTACATTCTTTTTACTACAGGCTCTTCCTTTTTACACAGATCTCTTAAGCAACGATGATGCGAAACTACAGCAAGCCGCTTGTCTAGCCCTCAAAAACCTCAGAGTGAGTGCTTTTAAAGAAACCTATAGACCGGTGGTTCTCAAACTGTGGTCTTGCAGAGAGTGATGAAATCAAATACTTTAAAATTTCTCAGTCTTAATTTCTAATACAGTAAATACTGATAGATATAACCAGTGGTGGGATTCAAATATGTGAACAACTGGTTCTCTGTGTGGATGCTGCTTCCGGAAGTCCATGCTGGGCCTGGGCAACAAAAAATTAGCTACCGGTTCTGCCGAAGTGGTGCGAACTGGCTGAATCCCACCACTGGATATAACCCACGTAAACCAAAGCTCTTTGGTGTCCTCAATCATTTTAAGAATGTAAAAGACCAAAATATTTGAGAACCTCTGCTTTCCATGCTGGCTGGAAAATTCTGGGAATTGGAAGGCCACACATCTTAAAAGTTCCCAAGTTTGAAAAACACTGCTTTAGAAAATTCTTGGTGAAATGGACTATTTGAACAGGTTTCATCAACAGCCAGCAGAGGGGGTCCAAATCCAAGAATTTAAAACATGTTATCAGTCCTTGGAATCCTCCTAGGGCTCCACTAAGGGACATCTGTCACTGCCCTGATCTGGGATCTTATGGTTATTCTGTGATCAGATCATCTTTTGGCCTGGACACCAGGCCATTCACTGGTTTTACCCGGTTATACATGTAACCTCAGTGCAGACTTTGTGGCATGTGGAAATCAGTGGTGGGATTCAGCCACCACTTCAGCAGAACCGGTAACCCAGAATGGACTTCTGGAAGTGGCATCCACACAGAGAACATATTTGAATCCCACCACTGGTGGAAATCAATAACCTTTCAGGCTCCAGTTCACTGCATATATTTGTGCAAGATGTTTGCAGACTGTTTAGCCTTCACTGAAATGATGGTTCCTGATAATCCGGCAGAATTTAGCATTGCAATATGGGCAAAGGGTCCCTGTTGGCTTTCTTAGAAACCAAATCTAACTGCTCCAGTCCAATGTTTTGTTTTAGAGGGCCAAATCCAAAAAGGACAAAAAGTAAGCAGGGAGAATAGAGAGAAGAACAGGAGGTAGTGGTCGGAATAAAATTAGTAACTTTCTGGGAAGTTAGTGCTATTTTGGGAATGAAAATGTTTCCATCCACCCCTCCTGTTTCGCGCAGAATGGCCTCAAAATTCCAAATGTACTCATTTCCCTTCCCCAAAGTTGGAGAATTGTCTTAAGTAATAACATTACACTTTGAGGCAGTTTGGTGTAGGTGTTAAGGTGCTAGCCTAGAAACCAGGAGATTTCCTTTTAGGTATGAAAGCCCACTGGATAACTTTGGGTCAGTCATTCTCTCTCAGCCCAACCCACCTCACAGGACTGTTGCTGTGGGGAAAATAGGAGAGTGAATGAGTACTTAGGTATGTTTGCCTCCCTTGAGCTGTATATAAAAAAGGCAGGATAAACATGTACAGGTAGTCCTTGACTTACAACAGTTTATTTAGTGACTGCTCAAAGTTACAGTGGCACTGAAAAAAGGGACTTATGACCATTTTCACACTTATGATCATTGTAGTGATGTGATCAAAATTCAGACGCTTGGCAATTGACTCATATTTATGATGGTGGCAGCATCCCAGGGTCATGTGATCACCTTTTGCAACCTTCTGACAAGCAAAGTAGATGGGGAAGCCAGATTCACTTAACAATTGTATTACTAATTTAACAACTGCAATGATTCACTTAACAACTGTGGTAAGAAAGGTCGTAAAATGGGACAAAACTGACTTAATAACAGAAATTTAGCAACAGAAATTTTGGGCTCAGTTGTGGTTGTAAGTGGAGGATTATCTGTATTGGTAAATTATGATAGACAAAGAGCATGTGATTGCCTCTTGCTTCTGGCTGTTCCTCATGCAATGGCGATTCACTCATCTGCCGGAGTGGTGATTGTATTGGTCTAGCTTGCTGATCTGGAGAATGGGCAGAAGCAAAGCCTTAAGAAAACAAAGATGCAAGTAAAATTCTCCATCGAAATATACTGGTCTATCCTTTCTTTACAGAATGCCATAAATTTCAGTTTACTGAAGCCAGATGTGAACTATTCTCAAAGAGATGAATTGGGGTTAAGAATTGGGAGAAGTAACTTACAGAGTTATTAAAATGTTTCTTTTATCAAACAGGGCATTGAAAGTCTAGAGCAAATTGCCACATTGTGCCAATCAGAAACCGAGGAAGTGAGGACCACTGCCAGAGAAACAACACTTTCATTTGGTAAATGCTTTCATGATTCTCTGCTTAGGTGTTCTGAGTGATAATGAATAGCAAGTACAGGTAGTCCTCATTTAGTGATCACAAATGAAAATGGCAACTCTGTCATGAAGTGAAAGATCACTAAGTGAAACCATGACTAGATTTATGATTTTACTTCAATTTTCCTTTGCTTTATAGACCTGCAAAGGTTTTCAGTCCTTGGCTTTATAGACCTAAAAATAATGGAATGGAATGGAATAGAATGGAATAGAATAGAATTCTTTATTGGCCAAGTATGGCTGGACACCCAAGGAATTTGCTTCCGGTGCATAAGCTCTCAGTGTACATACAGACAACAAAGTAATATAATCATAAGATACCAATAAGAGACAGTAGTAGAAAAGATGAGAAGTATAATAGTAATACAGTCATACTACATTGGTAAATATCCTTAGACATAAGACATTACTGTGGGAATTAAGAGTTCAGTTTTAGGTTTTAGCAACCTAAAATAGATATAGCTAACTGACAATTACCTATAAAACAGCAAGTAAAAGAAGTGGAGCTTGTAGAATTGATCTTTTTAGTGGATGTTTCACCAAAATGTAAATATCGCTTGCTCTAAAGAACCGGCTTGCCTATTGCCATTGAATCACATTTTTTAAATATCTTTTTTTTCTTATGCCAAATCTAAAATTCTGTCCGCCATCGCCTCTGTTGCCGAATCATGCTCCAAGTTCCACTTTAAAATTCTTATGTGTAAAAGTAAATGGGAAGCAAACATGCTGTGAAGCAACATTGTTGTGGTTGTTAACTCTCTAATCCCAAACATTGTTCTGGACCTCATAAACGCACTGAAGACATTTAGAAAACCAAAGTACTAGGAGGTTGCAATCCATTGCTTTCATGGAAGAGTATTTATTTCTACAGAAAAAGAGTCAGAAGGAAGCTATAATGGTGGAGACTATACAACCAAGTTAGAGGACACAGCAAGGAACCTCATTAGTTTGGCTAATTGGTTGTTTAGTACTAGTCTTTACCTCACAGGAAGTCATTTAGAGAGAGGGCCCAATTCAAACACTGGGCACCCCTGCTTTATTATTTTATTTATCACAATTTGATAAATGTTACCCCTCTCTCACAATATGGTCTGTGGTCAAGTTTGATGGTATTTGGTCTGTGGTCCACTAACATATGGAGGCTCACAAATTTTCCTTCTTTCCTCGATGCCCTGGTCGACTTCTGCCATTCTAGTAGGCCTGATCTTGTTCACAAATGATATGATATTTTGACAACATATAGGAATTATTTTGTCTTAGCGCAACTGGTGCTAGAAAGAAAACACAAACAGCCTTCTATTCACTAATATAGAAATGGGGAACTAAATGCTTCAGCAACTGTGAAAATATATTGGGAAATATCAGCTTTGCTCATCCAACCAGATAACTTTTTATTTATTTATGGGATTTACTCCCCACCTTTCATCTATCTGTTTTAACAGATTCAAGAAAGGAGAATTGATGGTTTGGCTTCTTTTGATAGCAAGAGTGAAGGAAGTTGGATAACCCGAACTACTTATATGTACCACTAGAAGAGCAACTGAAACGAAGTTGCAAATTTATGGAATTAATCTATGGGCTTTCTCCAGAAATTTGCTTTGGATGGTCACTTGAAGTCATTTTCTTAACTTCCTTTTAAAACCATGTACTCCTTACTGAACTTTATAAAATTATCCAGTTTGAGAAATACTATAATTACTAGGTATATTGTGCCTAATGTTTGCAAATAACTTCTTGGCTAACATCAGGTTCTCTATTCCACCTGACTTCACTTTTTAAAAAAGATTTAAAAGTCAGTGAGGAGTTGATGTGCCAGATTTATTCCCAAGAATAACTTTGGAGCCAGCATCAGCATTCCTAGAAAATAAACACAGTACAAAGCTGCAGTTTAATTCTTGGCTTGCTATCTGCCTTTCTCTTGACTTAGAACAGCCTTTCTTAGGAAATATGGGTGACCCCCAACTTTGTTGGTCTTCTGGGAAGCCATGAAGACTTAAGTTTCCAGCCAGGTCCAGTTGGTACTGGCATTTGTGCAGTAATGTGTGATTGGTCTAGATTATGTTTCATGTTTGTATCTTTGCTAACCATCCAGAGTTCCTCTGCTTAGATGGTTGACCATACACATTTGTTTCATACATCAATAAACTGAAATAAAACACTCCAGTAAAGGGAAGGGCTGGAGCAGCCTCCGTCTATACGTGATCAAGAACATCTCTCCTTAGCAAAGATAGCTATTGAGTATCTGGAAAGAGGAGGACCATTGGTGCCTGAAGAGAAGGTGGACTGCCATTCCCAACACAGTTGTATCAGTCATGGCTACTTTCTGTTTTTCTTTGCAGGAGAAAAGGGAAGATTGGCTTTTGAAAAAATGGACAAAATATGCTGTGATCTAAGAGAGGCTATGTATCAAGAAGCTGACATTGAAATTACAATATTCTGAACAAGAACTTCAAAGGAGGAACCAAGGGTTAGATGCTACAGTAGAAAGGAGTCTTCCAAGAAAAAAGAAAAATTGAAGGCCATTGGAAAACGTAACAAACCATAACTACAAATATTTTTAAGCATCCACATTCTAGTGTCTTAAATATAATTAATATTACACTTGCACTATATTTGGGTGCTGAAGATGTATAGTGAAACCCAAAACACCATTTTTGGATTTGAGGAATGAGATTGGAGAAGCTTCTTTTTTTTAATTGTTAGGTGTCCCCCTTTGGTTTCCATTCAAGACAAATATTTATCTTCTCTGACACAAGAGGAGGCAGACTATTTTATATATATTTATTCATTTAATTCTTGTAGACCAAGATTTTTCAAATGTAAAGTTCTAAAATAATTAGCTCAATGCAGCAAATTAACTTGTGGTTGCCGTCTAGTGGCCTTTTTCCTTTGGAGCAGATCTCACAGAGACTTTAAGGCAAAAGTTGAGGCAACTTTTAAGGCATCTTTAAGGCAAAAATTTTAGACGTTTCCCCCACTTTTTACATAAAACATCCTAGGGCAAACACATCTCCCCTGTCCTCCTCCCACAAAGTATCTCTCATTCTTTGATTTGGGGACAAGGGCATCTGCAAAGTTTTTAAAAAAATTAGCATGGTGGCTGCAACTGGATTATTGAAGTGTATCTTGTTTTTATTTGTATCATCTGCACAAAGCAGACAGAACTTTCCACATAGATTAAAACTCGACATAAAATTCTTGGATTTGTGGACTGAGACTGGAGCTTTACAAATAGTTGTTGGTCATCCCTGTAGCTTCCATTTAAGATATTACCATGTTCACATTTTTGACAGCCCTTTCCTTCCTCCCTCCTTCCTTGTCCCCACTGCACCTATTTCCTATTTCTATTTATCCAACTATTTGAAGAGCTGTGGTGGCAGAGTGGTTAGAATGCAGCATTGCACACTAACTCTGCCCAATGCCAGGAGTTCAATACTGACTGGCTCAAGATTGACTCAGCCTTCCATCCTTCGGAGGTCGGTAAAATGAGGACTCAGATTGTCAGGGCAATATGCTGACCCTGTAAACTGCTTTGAGAGGGCTGTAAAACACTGTGAAGTTGTATATAAGTTTAAGTGCTATTGCTATTGGTGTTGAAGGGTATCCAGTCAGTAAACATTCAGCTCCATCCAGTCACTCCAATTCTACCCCAAGTTAAGGAATTACAGGATCGTAAAAAGGGGGAGTTACTTATCCACCTATTGAGTGGAAATTTCCATTCATGTAATTGAATACAACATTAATTATTGTCTCCCGAAGATTTGAATAGATAAATTGAAATTATGTCTTTGTTTCTGTCAATGCAGTTTAAAATGGTTGTATGCAATAAGTAATAATACATGGGATACAAAAGAAAAACAATTCCCTCCCATTCTGTTTCTAAGGCTCCTTTGGAAGCAATAACAAAAAACCATTTTTAAATGCCTTCTAGTGGTCACCTGAAATATATATTTATAATGTTTTCATTGATCTTGGCAATACCTGGTACTGAGTAAACAGGCACGAAGGATTTGAATGCACAATATTGTTTTCCTTTGACTGATAATGGTTGACCATACCAAATGTACAAGTAGGTTTTCATCACCTGATCAAAATTCTTTTATACAGTGTATTTTGCTCTGTATTTTCCAGTATTTATTGCTAAAACTAGTTTGAATATTCAGTTTTTTAAAGAAGATTTTATTAAAATATCTGAAAAGGATTTTCATTTTCAAGTGGTCATTTACAGAACATTCAACAACAAAATGAAATGAGAGTTTCAGAGAAGAGTCAATTTCATTTGGGTGAATTTGTTTGACTTTAAGGTGCTGGAGAAGAGATGGTAATTAGCTACTTAGCGGGGAAGCTGCAATGAATGGAAACTATTGCATGAACTGGGCAGGCCATAATATTTTCACATGCAGCTCAATGTTTCAAGATTGGCTCCTTTGTTTTTATTTTTATTGGGCTAAACCTATTTCTATGTATTACATAGCAGTTTTAATAAAAATTTCCCCTTCAGACCAATAAATTTTGGTGGTGGCCCTGCTAAACAATGGCAGTGAAAAAGTGTTGGTCATTTTTGACTCTTGATGACTGCAGGGACAAGTCTATAGTTTTCTTGGCCATGTTTTCAGAAATAGGTTGCCATACTTTCTTCCTAATACTGAGAGGGGGGGCTTGTCTTAAAATCACCCAGTTGATTTCATGCTTAAGCTGGACCAAAACTCATATTATCTTAGCTTTTAGTTTACTACCTTTAACTACCATACCAATCTATTTAAAAGTGTTTGTTTTTTTTTAAAAAAATCCACCATTCCCCATATATTATACTGGAAGAGTCTTGCCAAGTTTAGACCCTCAATTTTGCATTCAGCCTTACTGGCTAATATTCTCTAGAACAGTCTTCTAGGAGTGA